AAGCATATCTAATTCTATTAAAACATGAATCCATAGAAATTGGGGGTATATCTCCTACTATCAGAAGTGATTGTCCTCCTTTTGGTATTAAATTAGCATATCAAGGAGGAGTGTATCATTGTTGGCAGGTGTCCAACAATGCTGACTTTATGCCTGCACTGCCACTGGAGGATACTTCGTGCATCCAGTGAAGTTGGCTGTAGTTCTCAAAATTGATGGATGCAGTGCTGCTTTTTTGGCTTTTCTGGTTCTCTTCTGGATCCTGATAGCAAACAGGATTGGTGCTGAAGTGGAAGTGAGTGGCTCATGAGAAGGATTTTGGAATTGTTGTAGATTGCAAGCTGAATGTGACTCAACAATGTGGTTTGGATACAAAAATGGCAAATGCTAGTTTAGGCTGCATTAATAGAAGTATCACTTCCCAATCACACGAAGTACTAGTTCCCCTCCACTGAGCACGGGTTAGGCCTCATCTGGAGTGCTGTGCCCATTTCTGGGTGCCACAGTTTAAGAAAGATGGGGACAAGCCAGAAAGGGTTCGGAGGAAGTCGACAAGGATGATCCAGTGGAAACAAAGCTCTATGAGGAGGGATTGAAAGAACTGAATCTGTTTAGTCTTGAGAAGAAAAGACTGCGTGGAGATACAATAGCACTCCACATTTACTTGAAAGGCTGTCACAAAGAGAAAGGACAGGACTTCTTCTCAATCATCCCAGAGTGCAGGGCATGGACTAACAGACTCAAGGTACAAGAAACCAGATTCTGGCAAGATATCAGGAAAATTTTCTTGACAGTTAGAGCAGTACAGCAATGGAACCAATGACCTAGGGAGGTTGTGGGCTCTCCCACACTTAGAGGTATTCAGGAAGCAACAGGACTGCCATCTGAGAGGGATGCTCTAATGTGGTGTCCTGCACTGACCAGGGGGTTGGACCTGATGGCTCTCTGTTCCCTTCCAACTCTAATATGTTATGAATCTGTATAGGTAGTATATCTGGGTGTTAGGGGTTGACTCAAGGCTCTGGTTAGAATTAGGGTCCCTGACCTGGCATTATTTTCATTTGGACATGTGGTGTGAGCAGTTAACAGAAACACCCTGAGTAGTGCCTTTGTCCATGTTATTGGAATATACAGGGATTCACACCAGGATTTTAAGAGTTGGGATTAACGTTCATTTTAGGAAAGCCAAGCTCCCTGTGCATATTCATGAGTCTGGAAACAAATTGCTCATACTAAGTGAAAAATTAACAGCAACCCCCGAGTGCTATCTTTCTGCAGTTATCTGAATGTGTAAGGATTACTATATAATGAAGGGTTTTGTCTGGAGTTAAGCTTTAGTTTAGTATTAGGAAAACCTGAGTCCCACTGCACATCCAATGGCTAGGAACCGGCTTTGATTCAGCAGAAAGACTGAACAGGGAACAAGAGCACCCTCAGTGATGCCTTTGTGCCTGTTGTCTGCATATATAAGGATTACCCCTGGAAGTTAGGGTTGGGTTCCATTCAGGGTTAGAGTTAAGAAAATCTTATTTGTGCACATTGGCCGATTCTGCACAAATCACACTAGAACCACATGGTTTTTGGGTGCTTATTTTGCTAATGTCTTAAAAATGGCATCTGTCCTGTACATGGAAGTCCCCAAGCTGGCTCAACTTATATCACAGCAATCATGGGACTAGTAAACTGGAATCCAGGGGGTCGAATTGTACAGATTGTGAAAGTCTGGGCATGTCTACTGCAAAGGCCCTTTCTCAAGTTCCCACCAAGACATTCCTTTGATGTTGACTGGATAGGAAGAAGGACCTCTGCAGCAGATTTCAACACTTGGGCAAGTTCATACAGGAAAATGTAGTCTTTCAGGCACCTTAAATCTAAGCCATGGAGGGCTTTATAGGTCATAACCAGCACTTTGATTTGAACCCGTGCATACAGACAGAACACAGAAATAAACTATAAGATGAACAATCTTATCCCACAGTACTAAACTAGCACAGATAATGAAGCTGACTCATACAATTACAAGGTCTCAATTAACTATTGAAAGGCAGAGAGGCCACTGCCTTTTGAAAACAAAGCAGGAACCTTCAGCCATTTCTACTTGTGCATGAAAAACTCTATGAGTACTGAATTCAGTATGCATAAAATAGACTTTTCTTCATGACATGAATAGGTTACAAAAGGCAGGCTCTGGATCAGACCTGTTTTCCTGGGACAATGTATACTTATCCTAGGCAACTAGGCAAGTTATGATTTAGAAGCTTAGCTGCTTTAGGATGCCTTTCTTCTCTGAATATATTGTATATTCATGGAAATAAATGTTATCTTTAAAATAAAATAATGAAACATATCCTGTGCCATATGTCAAAACTTAAGTGGATGTGTTTGTATGGAATATGTTCAATACATTATTATTAATGATAATGTATTACTCTCCTTAATGCTAGAAGCTTAAATTCTGGAGTCCAGCCAATTTCCTTGTGAGGTGAACATACTCATTCAGTAAGTTCACTCAGAGCTGTACAACTTTTCATTCTCTAAGCCAAACATCATTTACCAGCTACGTACAGTTGCCCACCATGCTGTTGGTAAGCTGGCTGATTTTTACAGCCTACAAAACAGACGTTCAAAAGCAGGGCTGGCCAATTGCCTGGGATGACACAACAGTGTGTGGCTTGAAAGGCTCCTCTCATTCCATAAGGGAAAATCCTGGCTTTTATCCCAACTCTGGAACACCCTGAGACCTGCATACACCTGAAAAGCAGTAAGACCAAACTTCTAAGCGCCTCCAAAGCTCAACACAATAGTCAGCTGTTTCCTTGGTCATGCTAGGCTTTGGGCACATTCAAAGTTCTGTATGAGGTTGTAGACAAGGCTGCATCTTTGCATCTCTGTATGTACTGTGAGAAAAAGGACACTGGAGACACAGTTACTGCTGTGTCTTTTTTATTAATTTTTTTAAAAGTTCATTGTTGGAAAGGAGGAGGAAGCTTTCCACTGGAGGTTTAGGCAGCTTTGGAAACTCCCTTCAATTCAGCATGTGAAGCAACAGGGTTGAAGAGAAATACTGAAAGCTTTTTTAGCATGATCATAAATCTGCTACATCGTTTCTTAGGCAGGAATCTCTTTATTTCTTGTTTAGTCAAAGTTTAAAATTGTTTGCATAGTACACAGTAAATTTACTCTCTAGGAGTCATAGGAAGTTGACTCATGATGGAAAGTTTTCATCAACATGCTCTGGTTCATTTTCCAGAGAAGCTGTTATATCAGTTCACTTCCATGGAAACCAATCAATACGAGTGCCAAGCAGGGAGGGGGAGGGTTTAAAAAGCAGCACTTGTAAAACAAGAATGTATAATTTGCTTTTGTCTGAATAACATCTTAAAACAGAGAAAGAGCATCTTTCTAGATTTGTGCCTACGCCTTACAAGAATGTATATTGGCTGGGAACTCTACTAGAATACACAGTATTTTTTAGTCTTTTCATGGAACACACATTTTTTCAATTAAATATTGTCCTCAGTGTTTTAGGATTTATATAGATCTTCTTTTCAATTGATTGTGGAGGAAATCTGATGTCCTATTTTATAATTCTCAGCTAATGTAAGGGGATAACATGCCAAACATGATTGTGAGAATGGGCCTTTTCAGACCATAGAAGAAATGAGACCAGTCCTTCATCTCTTTTTTGTGCAGTACCAATATTTACTCTGAAATAAAGCGATCTAATCCATGCTGTTCAAGTTCTGTCACTGGAATTTGTGATGTGATTGTTGTCTGAAGTATCAACCAGGTAAAATGTAGAAGTGTAAATGCTAATAAAATGGAAAGATGCTTACTTCCCATGGCAGTCATAATGTGTGGTGATGCCTATATTGATCATGGCAATACTGCTTGAAGATATCTGTTCTGAGAAATACATTTTTTTCAAACAGGAGACTAGTTTTATCATTATTCCTACCCTAACAAAATAGAGTAAATATTCAAGTAGGGTAGTTTTGTTTTGTTTTTGAATTACTAAATGAAATTCTACCTGGACATTTCCACTACACCACCGTTTCCTGTTTTCAGACTGCCAAGTAAAGTTCAAAGAGTGCTTCCAGAATACATGCCTTACTGGCATACAAGTCAAAGATGTGCTCAGGAGCTTTTCAAGGAGCAACAGAATTCAGCAAAGCATTTTCTGTGCACACAGAGCTCTGCTTTTTTCTTGACCTGAATACTGGCTGTCACATTTATTAGTGGCAGACTCTGAAATCGTGGCTTGTTATAACCTAGATTTCAGCAGCCTCATTATATCAGTTTGTTAGTTACTAGCTGCCACTAAAAAAATTCTGGCACCTTTTTATTCTCTCTTGTTCTTTTAACTGACATGCCTTTTTTGAGAACCTCTCTCTGCAATTCTTTATTTCTTAGTCTGTGGATAAGAAACTCAAGTCAGAATCATTTATACAGAGTTCAAAAAATGGAAAACAATAAAAATTATATGATTTTTATTCTGTTTGTCTCTAAAGCAAATCTGTAATTAAGTGATTTAATAAAATTGAATTTACTTCCTGATGGAACTTTTCAAGTACAGGATAGCAAGAGAAGTTGCAGTGTGATTAATCGTATTTGACATAAGAAAAATATAGTTATGCAGCATTCAATATTTAAACCAGTCCTTCAGCCACAAAATGTTAGCATGCCAGTACAGCAGTTACAGATTCCAAGTTTATTAATTTTGCCTATATAGTTAGTTTAAACAAAAGAAACCCAAAGTCTAAGAGAAACCTTAGCTGCAATAAATGAGTATGCCCCCCCCACAAAAAACCCCACCCTGGGTGTTCTTTATCAGTACCAAATAATCAAAAGGGCTATTGGCATTTTAATTAACGGAGTGAAAGGGAGCGAAGCCCTATGTGGCTTCATTTTCTTTTAATGTGCTTTAATTGTTTTTTGTCTTTCTGAATGCTTCTGATTTATCTTCTGCATGCTTAAAGTTCTGCTTTTTTAATTCACAGGGAAGTGGTACAGGCAAACTCTGTTCATTGGAAGAAGAGGTTCTTATTTATGTGTAAAATGAGCGCAAGTGCCACAACTGGGATTTTAGATCCCTGTATCTGCAGGGTGTCTGTACGGAAGGTAAAAATGGAAGTCTTGTTCTTTTCATTTTTGCATCATGGTTTATATACTGTTGCAGTACACCTCTAAAGAAATGATAATGTATACCATCCATTCACTGATTAGCTTTATATTTCTTCTCATCTTGCCAAGCTTATAAATAACAGAATGTTTCATAAATAGTGTTGAATAATTATTAATATTGAAAATCTCTTGTTTATTGCCTTAAAATGTATTTAACAGATTGATAGGTTTGAATAAAATTAATAGCCTAAATGCTTACCTTGCCTTATCTCAAAGGCTCTGTACAGGTGGCAATATTCTTTTAACAGCAACATAAATACTAGATCACATGAGTGATAATCTTTCATAAAATGCTTGGGATTTGGTGGATTTCTAGGAGGAGGAGCAGGAATTGAAATATAATTACAGATATCAATACAATTTTATCAGCAAAAGTTGCTCTCCAAAAGAAGTCAAGGACACGGCAGATGTATCGATTAAATATACAGTTTTAAATATTTGTAAATGCGTGAAAACAGAGAAACTGCTTTTATCACTGATGAATAGAACTACATTGCATTTTAGGGCTTTCTTGATTCTTCCTTGTACCTCCTTAAAAGCAGCTCTTGTGGTTCATGGAACTTCCAGAAAGTACATAAATGGGATGGGAATGCAGCATGAGGGACAAACAATAGCAATTAGTATCCCTTCTTACGTGCAGCAGTACCTTTTGCTTGCACAAGAAGCCCTTTGGACTGAATAGTATGAAGCTGACAGAATTATTACAGTGAAAATTTGTTGTTTTCATATGTAATTTGAATGAAATTAATTTAGCATCTAACATCTATGAATGGAACCTTCTCTAACCAGAATTGATCTGATCCGTCCCCTCCCCTCTCCCACTGTTTGTGTGTGTGTGTGTAATGCAGACTTTCTCAGATTAGGGGTATCCAAACACTTAAGAGGTTTGATGCAAACTGTCGTATGTTGCTATGAACCACCTAAAAGCAATCTAGGTTTTGTAAAGTGGGGGCTTTGCCCCTGCTGGAGTCACTGAAGAACAGTGGGGTAACAAGTCCTTCCCACCTGAAGCTCCAGTTGCTGGTGTGTTTCAGGAGGTGAGGAGGAGATAGTGGTGCTTTTTTTCCTTTCCTCTACTATGTCTCAGCCAGGCCAAAGATGAGAAGTAACTACTTCTTTTAACTTTTCCTTATAACATCAGTAGTATAGGAGAGGTTTAAAGTGTGTGTTTTTTTGTCTTGGAGAATTTACTAATGCTTCCATAAAATGCTTTAGTACTGCTTACTGTTTGTCAGGAATAGGCAGCATGTAGCTGCCTATGTTTCAGCCTACAAATCCATCAGCCCTACACAGTCTAGCTAGTGGTGAAGGATGATGGGAGTTTTCAACCATGAGTTGCCTACCCTTAATATTGCATCTCTCTCTCACACACACCCGTATGCTATTTGTTTACTTATAAACTTAAGATTTTGGAGACAACTATATTACTTCCAAATGTGTTTTTCATTAAAAATTAGAAATTATAAACTATTTTTATTGTTGCAGGAATTAAAGGGAGGGAAGGCCTATGCAAAGGTAAAAATTTAATCATATCAATAAAATATTTTTCCTTCCTATCTATACAAGACTTCAGTGTAGAAATCTATTCAGATTTACTCTTGTTAATCATTAAAAGAATACTGGATATGATAAATATTTTAGAGGGACTTGTTGCCTAGCTCTAAGACTTAGATGTATGAATTCTGATAGTTCTCTTTGCTATGTGTTCACCTGTGTCCTGCTTTTTTGTCTTTAAAAAGTTTTATCTGATTTTTTTTTGAGTAACCAGTTTGCTTTAAATAAAAATACTGAACTGCTAACATCCCTGGGTCACTAACTTTAATCTTTTCAACAGCTGGGCTTTGCAGACCTCAACCTGGCAGAGTTTGCTGGATCAGGAAATACCACTCGTCGTTGTTTACTGGAAGGTTATGATACAAAAAACACAAGGCAGGACAATTCAATTCTCAAAGTATGTTTTTGCATGTTTTCCCTTCTTTTCTAATGTGTTTTTAATGGAGTATTTCTATTAAAAGTAGAATGGGAAAATACTCTATTTTCATCTATTTACCATGGGCATACCTTTTTTTTAAACTCACTAGGATCACTGGTGAGAGTAACCAGTAACCAGCCTGCTATAATATGGTACTCAAGTAGACATTTGTTGCAGTCCACTGCGATATAAATCCAAATCATACAAAGAAAATGATTGCACGAGTTTTATGTAAATGTAGCCATGCAAATCAGATAAACATAATTAGAGAAGTAATTAAGTTTCAAGATAGTTCTTTAGTTTGCTTGTTACTAGACAGAATTTTCTAGTTTTGCATCAGTGGCTTGTGATAAAATAGAGATGATCGTAAAAATCTTTTCCCTTTCTTCATTGTTGAACTATGCCAAATACATCTGCCATAAGAATTGTTACAGAGGTGTAATATTTGCTTGTTCCAATCCATTTCCATCTGAAAAGGCTTCCCACACAATGTCAGTATCAATTTTGATAAATGGCTTTAAGACTGCAAAGCATTATCCTGTTAATTATTCATCCTCAGAGCAACCCTATGAGGTAGGCCATTGATACATGCTATCAGACATGAGTTTTCACTTGTTCTTATTTTTAGATCTCTATTCTGACCAACTTTTTATTCATTCTTCTTAATTTACAGATCTTGATCAGCATGCAGCTAATGTCTGGAGACCCATGCTTTAAAACGTGAGAGAGAGAGAGAGAGCTTGTGATTGACTTGGAATTCTCAATTAAGTAGTATAAATCATATTCTAAAAATGATTTTTATTAGGCTGTAAGACCTATTGGATACAGGCTATAAACCTTGATGCCTGTTTTAGTTGCCTTTCTATAACTCAACTCTTTTCAGCTGGTTGTACACTTTACCAGTGTGGGAAGCAGTTGGAGATTTAGGGTGATATGGGACCTGAAGGACAGTGCTGTATTGCCAGTTCTGTTTTAGGGCCTGCTCCCCATGATTTTAAAAGCTTTTTTCCCCTTCTGTAAGCCTTCCTTTCTCCAAATCTGCTGATGCTGCTTACGTGTGCACACACAGGCCTACTTTAGCTACTTTTGTCTAGAGAATGAAGTTAGATCCAATAGATTGACTGGACTAATGGAAGCTGACTTCCCTGCTCCCTTCTCTCCAAGGCAGCTGCTCCAACCTTCTGCAAATATTACACAGATATAGGTGATCCAGCTAAATGCAGTGAACCAGGGTATAGCAGGAGTGAACTGGGGTGTATGAGGATAGGAATTTCCAAAATCAGATGGAAGGAACTTCCACAAGTGGAGTCCTCTTGCAGAAGGCAGATCCTGAATCCAACTTTTAGTTGGTATTAGTCTCTAGGATGGTAAAATATCAGAGGGGACACTCAGAAAAAGGGGAGAAGAGATGCTTTATATGGATCTGCTGGTTAACCGTATACTTGACAAAAGGAAATGTAATTTCACAAAGCTACCATTTATAACAATTTCTTATTTCATAGAAAAACAGCTCTTAAACACCATTCATGTTTAAAAACGTTCTCACTAGAAAATGCCCTAATTCAGACATCACTTTCACCACATTGTTCAAAACATCATAGTACATAGGAAGCATTCAGACTAGTTTCTCAATCTGGATCCTATGACATACTGGTTTAACAATCTGGATCTCTTGTACAAGGGGGGGGAACAAACCAGCACACAGTACATTGCAAGTCCAATAAACCATGGTTTGTTGGATCAGGAATGTAACATCTGAACTGGACTGTTGGGTCAACCTGTGTGTGTGATGAAGCCCTTCCTAGCTGCTATCCCACCCTGTTTCTTCCTAGAAGCATGGACTAAGCTTTACGCTTGGGGAGTCCAATGCAACCTGGATTAGTTTAGTGGCTACACAGAATCTGGATAGAATCTTGCATGGACCTGGCAGGTGCAAGATGGTGAATCACAACACTGGTCTCAAAATTCAGTCTGTATTGGGAAAATTATTATCTCTTCTGGTGGAAAAGGGTACTACTTTTTAGCTAAGCTCATACAAATCTATACTATTTAAAAACCATTTCCAGTGAGATTTCCTTAGTAAGAACGTGTTAGTTCAAAAGAGAGGAGAAAGGGAAAAAATGTATCTTAAGAAATTAAAACAATAAGTCAGTGATCAAAGATGTTACGGCTTTGTTATGTTCTTCTGTTAGGTCTCTGCATCACACACATGCACTGTGAGCCTATTTGTCTGTTGCAGCAAACTGTACGTGTCTTGCACCAGAAGGAAAAAGGATAGGATACATTTCTAGACTAATGAGGTATTTTGCGATGACTCATGCAGCTTGGCGAGTGCTCTAATTGTAGCAATGCAGCTGGGAAGCTTTTATTTCTATCAGGCATGCTTCAGAAGTAAGATGTAGGCAGTAAAAAGAAGAAAAAAAGTGTTGTAGCCGAGCATAAATTCTTAATAATAAGCAATGCTGTGGGTTTTTTAACTGCTTCTATGTTAGTATTTCTGGACAGCATATATTTAAATCAGGATACATTAGTACTAGAGTACCATTCTAAAACAGATATCCACTGTTGCCTCGGAAAAGCAGAAAAATGCTTAGAAGACCATTTTTGCTGCTGTATCCTAGCAGTTCCCCAGAAAGTTATGAGGAAGTGAGAAGCTTGTTGTATTTTAATCCATTTAGTAGACATACTTATATTCTTCTTAAGAATATTCAACCCAATAATTATCAGAAAGAAAAAGAATTCAATTTAGCAGTAAGAGCAGCACTAGGACAAGATTTAAGAACTATACAGAAGAAATAAAATGGTGACAGATGTCTTCAAAGACAAATCCTGTAAGGAAAACTCTGCCGTATTAGAAGGTGAAGTGAAAGCTATTCTGAAAGCACTTAAAAGGAATAAAACAACCAGAGTAGGTCAGGTATGGATAGAACCTATTCCAAGTTGCAGAGAATAAACCAGTCCAAATCCTAACAATATGCCAACAAATATGAAAAACTAAACAATGGTCCACAGATTGGAAATGTTCAGTATACATACCAGTCTCAAAGAAAGGGGATCCTAAGGAGTGCAACATCTATAGGACCATTTCACTAATTTTCCATGAAAGTGGTATAAAACTGAAGGTGTTGCAACAAAGAAAATTACTCTATGTGGAGTGAAAAATGCTTGGTGTTCAACCTAGATTGAAAAAAGGAAGACACACTCGATCATGTCATAAATATATGCTGGAGTGCACCAAAGAATTTCAAAAGATCAGTCTATGCTTTATACTGCAACAAATACCTTGTGTGGCTCGTGAAGAAGTTATGGATGGTCCTGAAAGAAAGAAATGGATGTGCCTCAGCACTTCATTGTCCTCTTTCACATTACATGCAGCAGCCACATGGCATGGAAGAAGGTGGCCAGTTGCGCAACTTTCATTCTGCAAGTTCATGGACTTCATTTGAGCTCCTGCACTCGCTTTCAAGTGAGGGATGAGCAAGAAGGGAAGTCTGTGAATGCTCAAGAGATGGATTCCATAGAGCTTTGACATACCCCTAGTTGAGCAGAGCTGTCCAGGACAAGACAATTTGGAGGGCATTCATTCACAGGGCCTCCATAATTTGGAGACAACTCAATGGCATGTAACTAAAAAAGACCAAGACTAAAGTGTTACTTTAATACTTAGAAGCAATCCTAGCTTTATCCATCAAGTGCACAAAACCAGGTAGCTGCAGGCTGCCCTGCCACTCCGACAAGTTTGCTTGTATGATGACCGTACCTGCAAACATGTTTGTCATGATCACACTTTTTAGTCACTGTCTTGAATGTACATTTTTGAAACATGAAAGGAAACTCTACAAGTTGATTCAGACTCATTCTTGTGCCTGCCTAAAGCCTCTATAAACTGAAGGATTGCCTATACACTACTTATATACCTTTGCTGCAGCAAAAGTAGTGGAATAAATTCAAATCTGAGAATTCTACTACTAGCATTATTGCACCTTTATCCAAAACATCTGTGTTCTTTCCGTTATAATTACTTGTTCCTTGTTATGCCTCACAGTGTTGTAGTGATAGACTAATTTGTAAATTCCCATGTTCAATGCTTATGTACCAAAGGATCAGGTCAGTCAATTATTTCTCCTCCTCACAGACTACCACTTCTCATCTAGAATGTAAATAAATCTGTTAGAAATGGAAATTTTAATCTGGCTCAACCTTCAGGTATTCTTGCATCCAAAGCCATCTGGTAGTTCAGTTAGTGGCTGGTCTGCTGAAGCCATAGTGCATGGTTGGGCAATATGCTGTCCTCCAGATACTGTAACCTGTAATTCCTCGCCTTTTACTATATATACTGGCTAGGGCTGATGTAGGACATGTATAGGCCAAAGCATCTGAGGTCATACACTGTCCATGTATGGTATAATGGATTGCACATTTCTGTATTTGAGTTAGGCTTACTAGCATATCTAAAGACATCACTGGTATTGTTAGTTGTATACCCTTGCAGCAGAGTTTCCCATAGGCCATCAAAAGTGATTGATTATTTAGAAATAGGATTAATTATTCCTGTATTGCATTGGAAAACAGCATTTTACAGCACATCGATACTTCCAAATTGTTAAAAATGTAGAACTACCAATAGAACAACTGTTGATAATTAAGTTTCTGGAACTCTATAAGCTATAATTTCTAATATTAAGAGAAGGTTGGTTACCAGTTGGGTCTTTTCAGTTCCTCTGTAAACATTAGTATAACATTTCTTTTGATTGTGGCATTCTTTTATTATTTATATTCTTATTTATTATATTTATATCCCATCCTTTTTCCTTTCAAGGAATTCAAGGCAGCTTACATAATTCTCTTATCAATCTTATTCCCACAACAACAACCCTGTGAGGTAGGTTGGGGTGAGAGTCTGGTCCCAGTCCCACACTCTTGTCAGCAGCTGATGTTTAACGGAGGCCTGGTTTGGAAATGAGAATATGTGGAAGGGCTGGAAGCACTAGCCTGCCCACTGTCTCACTTCCACAGAATGTGAGACACAGCAAAGGGCAAAGAGAACAATAGCACAGGCTTTGGAAGATCTCTTCAACCACAGCACATTTGTTTATGAGAATTTGTACTTGGGGTGGGGGGGATTTTATAGGTCATCTGTTCATAGCAGAAGAGTTACAATGCCACTATTTACGTCTCAGTTTGTATAGCAGGAATAGTGCTTAAGGGTCAGGGGCTATGCTAGGAGCCAGCTAGGAAAATTTTGGAGCTAAATATTGATTGGAGTTGGGTTTTGATTTGAGCAATGTTAGAAGATGGAAGCATTGGCTCTTCATTCTAGTTGCCTAGCACTATGCTGGTGTTTAAAATACTTATTTTTATGGGGAGTTTTGGTCTTTCAAGACTGCTCTGTAACTTTAGCTCTTTAAAATTCCACACATTAAAAAAACTTGCTTTCCAAGTGCTCCACACATTTTTAGAAGATCCAGATGGTGCCTGTTTCTGATGTTAATTTTACCACTTAGGAAAGTACTTTTGAGACTGATTAGAAATCAGCCCCTCCATTTTTATAAGGACACCTGAAGTTGGAAGCCTGAGAGGATATAGTAGGCATTACTCGCCATTCATTTCAATAGCATATACGCTCAAGCACAGGCCCCATAGAAATAAATGTGTTGGAACACCCAAAACAGAGTGCCTGCCATTAATATATAGTTGTCTTTCAGGGCCTGATAGACAGGCAGCAAACATATAATGTTGTGGACTACAGACGATGGAGAGATGGGCTGTCAGGCTTTTGGTAGCTGCATTAGATAAGGAATGAGCAGCATTTGACTTGGTGGATCATACATTGTACTGTTCTGGGATAGCCAGGACTTAAATTTATTTGCAGGGTTTACTATTTGCTTTAAACTTACCTTATATTATTCAAGGCACTAATCTTTTCTTGGGGTTGCGGCCAAATATTACTCTCTTTCAAGACTGTGTAAATAATATATAAAAATAATTGAATACATTCCTGGGTACTGATGCAGGGTCTGTTATGTCATATACAAAACCTGTTTCAGATTTTTAATTAGAAAACAATAAAAAGGAAATAAAAGTATAAGGAAAAGAATATCAATCTTCTATTGATTGACTAGGATTTATAAATGAAACCTAAGTCAAACATAAAACAGTTAACTATAAAGAACATCAGTTGTAATACAGTGAGGTACAGTCTAGGTAAAAAAAAAAAATTCTTCTTTAGAGACTATTAGATAGACCTCTGTTTTCCCCAAGAACTAAATAAATGAACTTTCATTGATTTTAATTCTACAAATCAAATATAGCTGGGTGTTTCTGGCACTGGATAAATTGTGTGGCACTGCTGGAATAGATGTTAAGAATTTACTAAATCTTGTTTAAATCCAATCAGTAAAAATGGATTTAATATTATTCTCTTTGTTTGATTGCAGGCCTCCATCCACAGCAATGTCAATATCAGTTGCTGGTGAACAAGAATCCCTACATGAAGATAGGAAAGGTGTAGAGAACACAAGAATATCACTTCTAGCTGTATCAGGTAAGGAACTATGCTACGATAAAGATCTTAGAAAAACAAAATATTCAAGCAGTTGGCAGTTTAGATATATGGAATATCCATGTATGCAGGTTTCTGTTAGTTTGTAAATCAGTAAATGAAAATTGTATGTTGCCATAATCTAATACCTAATAACCACTTCTGCCTAAGAAAAATTGTTCTGGTGTAGCTAAGAAATGCATCTGTGAATTGGTCTGCTCGTTAAGGAAGTGTTGTACCACTTCTGAGAGCAAGTGTAGAGACTCCATTGGAAGAAACTCATTTTCTGTAGAAGTAGTGTTTCAGTGGGGAGGGAGTTCATTCCTTTTTCTTGCCATGCTAATTATTTATACGCAGGTTGCCATGCATATGGGGAAGCATTTTAAAAATGTAATATTCCACTGCATTATGACTACATGTAGTCTGTGAAAAACTGTGTCATGTACTCTTTTTTTTTTTAATATATAGGCCAGTTCTTATTCAAAGTGTAGGGTTGATTTTTTAAAAGGTGCAAGGCCACATCACTGGCTGAAAATCCACTGCTTGCAGTGCAGTTCAGTTCAAAATACAACCTTCTTAGGTATATGCAGTGTGCTGATAATAAGGGATGTGGTTAACTACTCCCCCAGTCAAAACACAAACTCCCTGAGCAGTGCCAGCAGCCCATTGCTCCTACATTAGGAACCTTCTAGCTTCTTTCTGTTCTAGCTCTTAAATGTTCCAGAAAACTATATAAAGAAATCAAAGTAGCCTCTGTATGCACGCTTTTTCACATATCAGGCTAAAATATTATGTAATAATAGCCTATGGAACTGACTGGTTTTACATGACACATTGTGGGAGACAAACCACAGTGGGTTGGTATGTCATGGGCATCTAGAATGCTTCCTGCTGCTTCTGTGAGGGCAAGAAACCACCCTGACAATCCATGGCTTATTTTAGGGGTTGTTGTGCCAGTAATGGGTGTTATATCCTCTGAACACAAGCAACCAACTGGATTCAGGTACAAGGAAGCAGCAAATGGTAGCAGAGGTGGCAAAAACGCCTTGATTCTGTTATTAAGCTTGCCCGCACCAGTGAAAGTAACAGCCAATTCACCAGTGCCAAAGTGGCACACTAGAGTGACTCACTGGCTTAGTGCTTTCCTTGCTAACTCTCAGACTTTTTGTGTTCACTGTGGCTTACTGCCCTTATTTTGAGGGGGCAGATCATTTTTCCCTTCTCCAAACTGACGGTGACAACCTTTCCAAAGTGTCCTTTGTGATAAGAACCAATAATTTTGGGGGGAAGGTGAAAAAGTGCAAGCCACCTGATTTATAAGAGCAGAGAGTTTTAACAGCTGTCTGACTCAGGCTTCCATTTAAAACAGGATTTTTGATAGGGCTAATCAGGATTTTAGACAGACATGCATATGTGCTGGGTGGCTGTCAAAACACGGTGCTCTCATAAAGGGAGTAGCTCACATCCTTTCATCTTCTTGAATACCTATTATCTTGGAAAAGGGTGGAAAAGATGCAGGACACTGAGGATTTCATCTTGAAGGGAGTAATCTACTGGCCATCCCCTTTCCTGAGCAAAATCCACTTGGCAGCTGTCAAGGGAAAGCAAAAATGATCCTACTTGAAGTTTCTCTTGGTCAATGTTCCTAGTTGGTGCCTGGTGTACTTTTGACAGCAGACACTTTGCAAGATGTTGCCAGGCAAAGCTTTCCATGTCAGTCCCCTCCACACTTGCAGAAAAATGAACAAGAAAAAAGAAAAAGAAAATATTTTTGCCATCTGGGATAGGCACAAGAAAGGTGGCAAACCAATTCCAGCTTTTGCAATTTGCTGCTTGGCACCTCTGGAGAGCTTACCACTGGAAATAAACTCTGGGATCCCAAAATCTCAACGGAAATTGAGGGGACAATGCCAGGCAAGTGCAAAAGGGCTCAGGACTGGCCAAAGGGAAGAGACAAGCAGGCCCTGCTGTAAAGTCTCCTGGGACACAGTGGAGGAAGGGAAAGGCTACGTATGGTAAACCCAATCATAGCTTATTTATGGAGAATTGTCATGTCATACAACCCCCACCCCCGAGAACCACCTGCTGGCAGATGTATATATTTAATCAAGTTTCTCATATAGAATATTCAACTGAGGAAGGAATTCAGTATCAGGATTGCTTGATCTTCCTTTTCTGCAGATTCCACAACCAAGAGCACCCCTGTCTCGGAAGAGCTTGGAGCCTGTGGTCATTCTAGGACTTCTAGCTATGCAAGCCAGCAGTCAAAAGTGTCAGGTAGGAGGTTCAGTAAGATTCATTAATGCATCCTATATTCCCAGCAGAAGTTCCAGTTCCAGCAAAACATGTGAAATGATCTACTTGCTATGACAGATTAACAAACAGTTAAGCAGGAATAGATAAACTCCTTAAAAGTACAAATCTTGTTTCATACAAAAGACTTGAAGCAAAAATAACAAAGTATTTAGTAATGTTTTGATGTGAAACCATTCTCTCTCAAACACACAGTGATAAACCAGAAAATACAACAAGCCAAATCTCAATTTAAATGAAACATACACATGGAAATAATTGTGCTGGCTAATGTTGAGCAATGGTACTGAGACAAAAGGAAGCCTTAAAGCTCTATTGAACTATTAGTGGCCAAGGATAAGGCCTGTAGTACTTCTCAGGTTGTGCATTAATCCCCCTTGCTTAATTCTTTCATGAAATTTCTGGGAAAAGTTATTCAGAACTTCAGAGAACATTGCCCTCAATGTGCAGATTACATCCATTTTTGTTGCTTTTCGAACCTAGCACTATGGAAGCAGTTGAAATGCTTTTGGGGTGCCTGGGTTTAATAATAGGTTGGATGAAGATGATAAAATGAGGATAAACCCAAACTAGAGGTGTTACTAAGAAGCCTGTTCAGGAGATTAGGATACAGTGTGTTCAGTGTGTACTGGTCTTCAGGCTATGACAATGGGAACAAGTGTGTTTGCACAGCTACCCTTGGTGCTACAATATTTCCTTTGTTGCTCTGAGTAGGCAACAGTTATTCAAGCCTTGCTTATATCACACCTAGACTATTGCAATGCACTGCACAAAGGGCTACCCCTTAGGAGTGTCCAGCAGCTTCAGCTATTACAAAACACTGCAGCTCAGCTGCTAACTAGTCCATGATATTAAGACCATGTTATGCTTGTCTTTAAAAGCAAATTAGCTGCCATTCACTTTCTGGGCTTAATTCACTGTCTTGGTATTACTGTATGAAGTGCTAAGCAGCTTAAGGCTCACCTTCTGAGAGACCTCCGCCTTGTTATGAATTTGTTACAAATTTTTATATCTAAAAGAAGGGCCATCTTGAGGCCAGCATTCCCTCGGAAGGCCTGTTTTTAGGCGCACGTGAAAGAGCTTTCTCCTGTATCCCTCCGATTCTGGAATGGTTTGCCAGAAGAATTGCAGTTGATTCCTACTCCCCTGGATTTTAGAAGACAGGTCTCTTTAATTTAGTCTTTTAACTTGGTCTTGCTTTTATTGTTTAAACATTTTGTTGTTGTTATTGTGCCCTAGCTGTACAGCTTTTAGCAAATAAAGCAAATAAAAGTGTTCTTTCCCTCACCCCCACCCCAAGGTGTTGATAACTGAAGAAATTCTGAACAGTAGGGTATATTTGATAGTCCAAAAATCTTTTTGTATTTTTATTTTGTTATGCACTGCTCCAACATGAGGAGCAATTTAAATTTTCATTAAATGTTGTATATTCAAAATAGGAGACTGGAATCTTGTCCATCAGTTGAAGTATAAACACTGATGGCTCTGAACTGTTCTCTGCCAGGTTATAGCACCTGTCACTCCAGATCATCAAGTATCTCTGATCTCTGCCATAAGAGAAATACCTCTGTGGGAAGTACATCAACTGGTATAGGTAGTATTTTAGAGCCTTGTGAAGAGACTGAATCCAAAAGAAGTGATGATAATTTGGAACTGCCCGTGAAAGATGCAGCCCCAGAAAAAATGAACAGGTACAAGACTTTAAAAAGAAACTTTCTCCAGTTTGATTTTATATAAATATTCAGAATTACACTGTGATTGAGATGTTGTAAAACTTAAAATTTTCCATAGGTGTCCAGTGAAACAGGACTCTGTGGAATCACAGCTAAAGAGGGTTGATGCCACTAGAGTTGATGCAGATGATATTGTTGAGAAGATATTGCAGAGTCAGGACTTCAGTTTGGACTCAAGTGCAGAAGGTTAGCAATGCACAGAATAAAAATCGGATTAGATTTTGCTGAATGGCTCTGAACTTTTTCATTCATAATTGTGTGGGTGTGAACTCCTGTGGCATCCTCTAACTGCGTAAAGCAATGCCACTTATTACTTGTAAATACTTTCAAAATAATCAGTGATGAAAAATAGCTGAAGCAATTGAGGAAAGATTTTAAGACATTGTGGTTTAGTGCAAGAAATTATAAATGAATTTATAAAATTAATATTTTATACTCTTCAAAAGCAATTCATCACATCAAAAAAGAACCTAGCATGAGAAGACAGGTCTACTCTGACAAGGGGTTGGGGGCAGGGAGCTGCAATTTTTGTTGACTCTGATGTCACATCCCACACTCTTTGGGAGTGTCCCCCAAACTCTGGGCTCAGCTTCGGGTTGATGCAGAGTTGAAAGTAGGAGGACAGTTCAGGAAATCCACATTCCACAAATGGTGTTCCATAAACAACTTATATACAAATCAGATTTGGTAACTTCACACATTTTTATATGCATTTTTTTTCTTTTTTAGAAGAAGGGCTCAGACTTTTTGTTGGTCCTGGAGGGAGTACTGCTTTTGGAAGTCATCACTTACCTAACAGGTATGTCTATTACTGCTACATATCTTCCTTAGCTGAGAAATAAACACTGAAAATTCACATTTGATCAGTATTTTTAAAAATCCAGCCTGTTCCAGATTTTACATGGCTATATCTTTGTGATTTATTATTAAATGTGAAAAACCAAGATAGCTCTCCCATGAGACAGCACCGTCATAATAGTTGCTGACTATGCAGCATTTTGAATGTTTATTATTGCTGTTCATCCAAGCCTCCTAGAGTGCAATCCAGTTAGAATATCTATAACCCTCCAAACTCAGGCTTATGGACATCCTGTGGTGCGCAAGAAAAGCACAGAGGCAAAAGTTCCTTGTATATTCCTCCTGCCCCCTGCAACAAAGGGAATTTAGAACAGGAGGGAAGGAGACTGCAGCACTGCCTGGATATATTTTATTTTGGTGATGTCTGTCTCTCTCCCTGCCCCCAAGAACAGCCCCCAAAGGTTGCTGTTGCAACCTTGCAGATGCAACCAGCATGTGTTTCTGTGCCACCTGCAAGGGTGAGGAGAGGATGCTTGAAGGCGACGTGTCTAGGGTTCCTAGACACTTTCCTAGTGGCCATGCACTATCCAGCACTATTCACAGATTATTTAACAGAGTCAAAGCCAAAATGTACTGCAAGATGTTCTGTGTACTTGAAAGACATACTCAAGGATATCTTGCTGTATTTTTCTGGAGGAATGCGCATTCTGACTTTTTCAGATCTGGGTTAATCTGTTGCTGACAGCATCAATCTGTTTCTTATTAAATAATGGATACAATTAAAGTTTGAGGCTAAATAAGGTGACCATGATGGTGTTAAGCTCATATGAGTATCAGAGTTGTGGCCCTTGCTGCAGGATGGGGTCAGTACCTAAAGTGTGTATACCATTTAATTACACAGTGTTCCATAAACATCACTTAGTTACAATTCAAGTGTAAGTGTAACTTAGTCTGGATCTAACCCCCTGTATAGTTAACTATTTGATTATTCTGTGGATGTTTGTTTACAGCCATTAAACATACTGGGATCAGACTTAAATGTTACCAACTTTGTATAGTTGCTGCCAAAAACAAGTCAAGCTTACTCTTTCATAACGTCTAAACCATAAAAATGCATGATGTGACACTGAGCTAGTTTTTTTCCCTTCCCTTTTACTTCTTTAGCTGCCACTGACATGGGTATCCAGCATGCTAGTGTCACACCACACATTTTTACCCACTCAACATTATAAAAAAAGAGATACGACAGTATAGATTTCTGGTCTTTATCACCACCTTTTGTTTCTGAAGTTTTTTTTTTTTAATTTTTCAGGGTAGGATCTGGAGCATATGAACAAGTAGTGATTAAACGCTAGAAGAACTGAACTAGCAGGATGCTTGGAATTTCAGCACTGGCTTACTTCCAGTTTTGTCAAAGATGGGTTCTTCCAAAAGACGAACTCAGATTGGCCTCGGTTGTCAGTGTGGCTTCCTCATACTGAAAACGCCCTCTTTTGTATCTGCCTGTGGTATAAGGGCATTTTTTTTTCTTTTAGCACTTTGCCTAAAAGACATTGTGAATGTGTTGATGTACTTGTTACATTGTTCTATGTGTACATCAAACCACCTTTTTTGGAGATAGGACTAATGGTATTCAATTGAACATAGTCTGGTGAGATTGTCAGCACATGAAATGCTTTCAGTAAAGTTATCTATTTGTAACTTTTTAAAAAATGCTTTTTAGAAGCATTATCTTCAATCCTTTATTTAGCCTTGGCCAATTGCTCCTGTCAACCAGACTACAAAATGGCAAATGCTGCTATAAGCTGTGTGATCCCAACAACTGTGTTTCATGAAATTACGATTCAGCACTACTACGTGTGTGTGTGTGTAACTTCAGGTCTGAGTTGTGTGAGAGACTAGTTTGTCTCTTAAGAATGAGTGAGTAGCTTTGATAAAACGTATTAGGATATGTATTTATTGAATTACTGTTACATGACCACACTCAGTGCTAGCAAGATTTGTGCTCTTAATTATCTTCAGGTACAAAAAGGTTGCACTGACTTATATGTGGCCCATATCCAAAACCGTATGACTGCATGAGTTCATACGGTCAAGGTTCTCTTGTTCAGCGAGAACCTTGACTACATGGAAAGATCTGATATGAAGAACCTGGAGCAAAGAATCATCTGTTTTTTTTAGTTCATAGAATCTCAAATTGAACTTATTTAACCTTTGAAAGGGTACCTTGTTCTTGAGGAAGAAGTGTTCTGGACTTATGAAGCTTGAAGAACCAGTAAACAGCTAACTGAATTGCTGTCAGTTTAAGCTATGGAAAGAAGCACTTTACTAGTTGTCTTTACCCCATTCAGAAATCATACTCTTTAACTGCTATTACTGAATCAGGCCCAAGCAAATCACCTGTGTTTCCTGGAGTTCATGTCACTTTTTAAAAGTGCTTGCCCCTTTTGCCAAATGAGCACTTGCTAAAGCCATAAATAATGTAGGTGTATAGGCCAGTTCACTAAGCACTCCTGAACAGAGCAGTGGGAAACATGTACTCTGCCACTGCAATCCCATCAGCCCTAATCTGCACAGCCAATAGATGAGATTCTGGAAATGGCAGCCCAGCATCTGGAAGACTGCACACTCCTTCATCACTGCTTGAAATGCAGTGCTGGCTGTATGGTGCTTAGAGAATGAGTGCTTTGCTCATAGCTGTATCTCCTTTCATTCACACCTCATTCTGATGTATTATTTAACGGAGTCTTAGTATTTACTGATTTCAATAGAACTTATGCAGCTAAAAGTTCCTGAGGGAATGTGCACAAATGCAAAAGTGCAGTGTGCCTATGCAACAATTTCAACAAAGCATTTTCTGACAGCTTAAATAGCCTAATTTATTTTTGTAAAATGATTTTAGAATTTCAGGATGGAAAAAACCTCCCAACAATTCAGAAATGTAGTAATAAATAGGTTGTAGCTGGCCTCAGATGGCACAAAAGTCAGTTACTAGACCTGACTTAAACAACTTTGAATAATTACATCTATTTTTCCTGGGTTGGTGCAGAACACTTTCTGTTCTCACCACTTCCCTGGAAAAAGTTCATGTCCTTTTTGAAGAAATAAAATGGAAGACTTAAGACTTTAGTTAAATGAAGGATGTTTTATGTTTGAAAAATTTTATAAATGTAACTTATTTTGTTTAAATCATATGCACAAACTGTTGAAATGAAAACCATTTTTTCTTTATTATGGTACCCAGAGATATCTCTGTTACTGCTTTATAAAGCATTTTATTAAGTTTGAACTTGTTCTAGTTGAATTTAAGGAAATAATTTTTATTTTTAAAAGCTGCTGTTAATAATGGAAAAAGAATGTACACAACTTATTTTGAAGTATATCTTGATAAAATTGAGTATTGCGAGTTAAAGTTACTAAAATAGTGTTTGAATTCATTGAGGAAATGTTTGATTCTGAAAAATGTCAGTGCTAGAAGATGGTTGATCTGGAGAGGCAACATGTTGGCATGAAGGGAAAGAATGCAAGGGATAAAATAACTGTCTTAAGGCTGCTTGCTTGATATAAGGAACTATCATGTTCATTTAACTGTTCTATAATCTACTGTGCATTCAGATGCATGTTGATTAGTCCCTATGGAAATTCCCACTTTCCCTGATTCTAAAGCTTACAGGAAGGTAATTTGTCTCTTGCACCCATCACATATGTGGTGGTCTTTTTTTAAAAAAAACTGTATGTTAGTACCATAGGATGTCTGAACAGATATCATGCAGTTAACGTCAACTGAACCATTTTCATGATGTGATCCCAACTGTGTCCCCAAGACATGGGAAATGACCTTCATGTTTATATATGGCATTAATTTTGTGTAAACTGTACAGCAAAATCTCAATATAACACTTTTTAGTAAATCTGATTTTTTTTACCATAAAATACTTGATGTAAAAGTGGTCTTAAATTGAATAAAAGTTTGTCTTCAAGCTCCATTTGTATGTGGAATTTTTCCAGCAAAGTAGAAAAAATACTAAATAGAAAAGTATTTTTTTCCTAAAATGAATTTTAAAAGGAATACAGTTCTCTTTTCATTTTCCTTTTTCACATACAAAATAGCATTTGTAATAGCATATAGCATATAAACATAGATGTTTAGCATTTTGAATAGCTGCACACAATTTTAAGTTTCATTCTCTTTCACAAAAGAATGTGTTAAAAGCCAGAATAACTGTATTTGGACCAGGCACTTTCCTTAGGATGTTACAAGTTTAAATCATTGTAAGGTAAAGAATCTATACATACATTCATACAAAAAAAAACATTTTACTGCTGCCAAACACAATGGGGGGTATGTGTGAAAGTAGTTTTGGTGGAATCAGTACTGCAGTACTATAAGAAAGAGAAAAGCAAGAAGAGAATGAGTTAGAAGTATTGGCTTCTTGGTAGGTTCTCCTTACATGCAAACCCATTTACTGTGAGTTTTACTGGTCTTTGAAGGCTGGAGAATATAAAATTGCATTCTCTATGGCCATAACTTACATTGGACTTTGAAGTTAGAGTCACTTTTCCTTGACAGCAGCAAGCTCATGTTTTCTATGTATTTGTATGTTACATGACATAATCCTAAATATGCTTCACATTAGTCAAAATATTATTTTCATGCTATTTTGTTTTAGACATTTTAACATTACACATTCATTTATTAAGAAAACTTGGAGAGGTAAGTTTTCATATTGCTACTTCAAAAGATGAATAACGTCTAATATGCTCAACATTTTGATACAGATTTCTCAGGTATAAAACATCTGTCCACTTATTTAAGGCATTTTTATCCTATTCTTCAGCCTAGATTCACCAGCAATAAAAAGGCAGTCCTTCTCTACAGGCTTACAATCTAAAGAGACACAACACAAAACACAGACCATTTAATAAATTTACATAGAATAAATATTGATATTGTACTTCGTTGCTCCTGTGAGAGATCAATGCCAAAACATGTTGAGCACCAGACTAGGGTCTTGCCTCTCCGCAGGATCCTTGATTTTACTCATAATTAGTCTTAACATGACTCTCTCATTCACCAAGGATCACCTGCCTCCACTTGTTACTTTTGGATTATACTGCTACATTTTCATCAAGAATCTAGTTGTCCCACTGTTATGGGTTCCCTGTAAAACTCTATTAGTAACCTGTACAGCTGTGCCTACAAAGTTGAACATTTTTTAAAAGTTTTGTATGTCTTAGCAAATGTTGTGTTTTCTTTTCTTTCTCCAAATAACTTTCCCTCAGCTACATATTAGCAGCAGAGAATACTAAGTAGTAGGAGCTACAGCAGTGCAATTTACAAGGCTCTGGACTGGGGCCAGACTGGAAAGTGATAGCATTCTGGTTAGAGTCCAACAAAAAAGCTGCTACAATACAAAGGTAATAATGTATTTAAATGCCAGTTATGGGTGGGGGGGAGAATATCCAACCATGATACATTTTAATAAGTACTTTCTTTAGCATCAACAAGGGTAGCACCTGTCAAAGTTACTCTACTATTGTGGACATACAGTAACCAAGCACTTGGGTTTGCTTTGTCTTATAAAATATCAACCTTCCCTTAGCAGTTCTGCTAGTAAGATTACCGGGTAGAATGAGTCTGACCATGTTACAGCTATCCAGGAAACATAGTCAAGGACTAGATTAGTGATATTTAAAAGTTCTCCCCATCGTGTTCGTACCACTGTAGTGAAATAAATGTGACACCTTTTTCTTAAATTTAGGATAGGCTGTATGGTGGTTCTGTCATACAGTAACAATTCAACAGTATTCTCATATACTCTCATTCCAGGTATTTGTTTTCAGTACCAGATGTCAGCTCCATGTTCATTTTCTCATTAAAAAAACTAGACTTCTGTTTTCGATCCCCACTCCCACTTTCCTTGGCTTCTGCTGCCTAACAGAGTGTTCTGCAAGGCATTTGGCAATCTTTTACTTAAAGCATGGGTTGGAGGGAAAAATGGCTTGGCAGCAGCAAGGCTAACTTCCCTGTCTTCCCACTTGCAGCACATCTATTGATTCCAAGTATAGGACACAGAACCCTCTAACTCCTTCCAGAGAAGGGGAAAGCAGAACTACTCTAGTTGTTGCAGAAGAATACTCTACCAGTTTTCCAGGGAAGTATACCACCTCATGGCTGAAACTGTTACTGCAACTTCAATAGTCTAGGCTTCTAAAATTTATAGAGCAAAAACTGCTGTCACACAGGATTCCTTGTGTTATTTTGCACAATTACATATGTTGTGAAGCAAAACCATTTACTAACTACTGTAGCTAAATAAAAACCCTAGTTCAGAATGGGAAACTGAGAAAGCAGTCTCCTCACTCCTTTTCTTGTATAAGGGGTGACTCCCAACTGCTACAGGTTTTAAATAATCTAGAATGTCGTATTGCAAAGCAGCTTAACTGTGCCAAGGCAGGTGTAAGGCAGTGTGTCACATATCATAGAACTGAGGTTAAAATGTACTTGTTTTAACCATTGTAATGAAATTAGCGTAAAGGGCTGGAGTGTCTCCTGTCCACACTCAAACTGTAGCAGACAGTGAAAATAGTTGCATGACTTTGCATCCCTAGCCCAACTGAGCAAAAATACTTTTACCAATCTGTACTAAGCAAACCACTTGCTTGAAAGTTCTTTTTTGGGTATTTCAGGAGTTATCAATATTCCTTACCAGACAACTATCATTGCATAATTTTCTACAAAGACTACACAAGTCTAAGTATGGAAATCATTTTCCAGGAAAAAGGAAACCTTTCTTTAAAACAATATTGTTATTACAACAATACAACATAGCTGTGTAAACACACACTCATTTCAGCTCTCACTGATGTGTCTATGAAGACATACACTAATTATTCAAGGCTTAAAAAAATAATCTATTTTCCTTTCGGTACAAAAAAGTCATTTTTGCATGACTTTCTGTTCTCAGATTTGTAGCAAAACATGGTTTCTAATATGTTTTACTAACCACTCTCCTCACTTTGCAGTTAGAGCGAGGATCACAAGTCACAACATACAAATCTACAATTATAGTCCATTTAGAAGCAAATCTGACTGTGCTATCTAGTATATATATAACCTGTTATATTGCAAACAAGGAACTACCTGAGCTCTGAGATTCCTTCTCTTCCAGTTAACACAGCTGTATCAAAAGCACATCTTGTTAAAACCATCTGCTAATGCTCCTGCTCCTCATTTTCATACTCAGCATCAATCAGCACAGCAGATCCATCACTGCTCAATGCTATTTTTCCAGTTATGAGCTTACTTAGTACTTCTAGGGTGCCACAAAGTTGTTTCACTTTGGGAAAAGACAAGAGTTTTGCAAGAGGTACACAGACAGTATTTCCACAGATAAATGACTGCATACTTTCATGGCTGGCTTCAGCAAAAGAAGGATTCTCCACATATCTCACGAAACAGCAAGATGGCTGGGATCTGGGTTCTGTTTCAACAGGGTCATCACAGTGCTTTTTGTAAACAGGTTTTCTGTGGTCCAACAGTCTCCTTGCAATTATTTGTGCAGTGCGACTAACTTCATTGATCACTGCATTCTGCAAGTACTTTTCATCCTTAAGACTTGGATATACAGCTTTGAAAACCTTTGACATAAAACACACACACATACAGTACATCTCAAGTATTCAAATCACTTCATATACTCAACTTTCTGTATTACAGAACTAGAAACTAGACAAAGCTGTATTGACTTTTAAAAGCATGTTCACAGTACTCCAAAAATAATGTAGTTCGTATCCATTTAATCAACATAAGGAGCAAAATATAACTTAAATTCAGACTTGTCCTTCTGCAAATTGAAAGACTCCTTCCATTTATAGTATGAACTGGAGAGAAGTGACATGACAGTAATTCCTAAAATCCCCCTTCAATGAAGAGCACCATCTCCTATGCCATTCAGGACAGTTACCCAATCCTCCAGAGTTATACTGGAAATGGAGCCAAGGATTGCAGGAAAGGAGGCATTAAAAGGAGTGTTGCTGTCCTAGCATCTTCCTTTAGTGCCAGCAGAACTTTGCTGAATATAGGTCTGGATCCAACCCTGTGATTCTTCCTACAAGTTATTGTTTTCTGAATACAGTAACGTCCAGCACAATGGCTGCAGTATTCATCATTACAATTTACAAAGCCACCAATTGGTGCCTTTAAAAAGTTAGAATCCATCTCTCTAATAGGCTGTTTAAGCCTTCCTATTGGGTAAGGTTTGCAGAAATTAGCAAGTGATTTATTACAACACAATTATTTGTACGCCTACTCTAAGCAAGTCCCACTGTTAGCGGGATCTGCTTCCAGGTGGCTGTGTATAAGACTGCAACCCTAAAGGTACAAAACCTAAGCATGAGTCAGCCATTTTCTCACAAGCTATCCACTTAATTATTACTTAAAATAATATAAATGGAAGTAACATTTCTCCTACTCTGCCCTTTCCAGAGCTGTTATACTGAAACTACAATCCAAGTTCAGAGTGATTAAATGTACAAAGTGTTGATCTCTGAACAGGTTTCAAATCCAAACTTAGATGCACTGGCAGGAACTTTCTAAAGGTCTTTATGTAGTTTCAGAAAAGTGTGCCTCACACTTAAACATCTGATCATTCTTTCTAAACACTAAAAATGGGAAGAAGAATCTATCAGTAATTCTTTTCTGCAAGGTATGTGTTAACCTGGGCCTCTAGGACAGCATTTTAGACTTCCTAAATGAAAAGTAAGAATTATTTTCAAATGATGATTCATTTTAAGCCTCTTAGCACCTCTCTATGCCTTTGGTTCATCAATCCTAAAACAATTTGTTTGGAAATCAACTTGAAATCAATCCAACATTCTTTCCAGTAAGCTTTTTAATACTAACTGCTGGATGAAACACAAGCTTCATATGCTTTTAAATAGGTACAAACCTAACATTTTGACTTCTCTGACAATTATAATAAACAAGTATATCTTTCAAAATAGTCTCTTTGTACTGATTTTACTCCTGCTTCTGGAAGGTCTACTTACAGTTTTATAAACATGCTCTTGGTATTTCTCAAGTCTGTCAGGTTCTCCATTCCTCGCATAGTTTCTCACAAACACACCTATCTGTGTACAAAATCCAACATCTTTTCCAGGAGGTGCAGCTCCTAACCCAGTAAACTCCACTGTATAATCATAATGAGCAGCAGCATCCTGAGCCCTATGTTTAGGACAAGAACCAAATTACTCCAGTTACTTAGAAGTGTTTCTTCTAACAAAATTATCACGCTTATGAAGCATGTTACAAAGCCCGCCCCTCAGATTTTCTTTGCCAACTGTTGTTTGCTTACTTTGTGAAGGTATAAGAATTGTAATGAACAAACTGGAAATCTGCTCACTCTAAAGTACTGGTGAATCTACCACTTGAAGTGAGATGAGCAATACCAAGCTACTGTTATATCAAAATACCAAAACTAGGACACAGAGGAATAGAGCCAGGTGTAGGAGAGCAAGTTCTTTCTTTTCCTGCCCAGTAATGTTGCCTTCATGGATGTGTGGTGGATACAGTGGTGATGGCAGGAGTGACAGAAGATTGTATTCGCTGGAAATAAAGCCACCTCCTCTGCACAGGTAATGACTATGAGAAAAGAAAAGAATCAATTCCTCAGCTTTGTTTCTCCTCTGAAAACCTCCCTTTGCTCTTTCCAGTCCTGTACTTAGCAGCAGCTTGAGACTGCTGTCAACATCCTGTTTTGTTATTTGGAAGAGGAAAGCGCCTACAGTGATGAAACCTGCTCCTTTCTTCAGACTACTAAAGTGAGCAAAGAGTTAGATGCCATATTCTCATTAGGATGGTGATAGGTAAATACAATCTTTAAGTCACTGAAGTGAGAATATGTTTCAGAATACTCGAGCATTGTTAAGAGAGATCCACCAATTTAGAGAGCAGAGAACCTATAAAGCAACTAAAATAGTAACATGGAGGTGGTGACATCTGGGCTACCACAGAAAAACAACTGTACAAGAATGAGACACGCTCTATATTAGTAGACACCCCCTACTCTCTAAGACTAATTCCCATCCATTTCAATTCATGTGTGAATGTTCTCTAGGTGTCTGCATCTCAAAAATGATTTGCAAAGGTGTACATGCTTTTAAAAAGTTAGGGGAAATGTAAACACACAGAGAGAATATCTAGAACCAACACTGCTAATTTGCCATATTATGTCATCCCTACTTCCCCCATGCTGAGAGATTGTTGGGGTTGGAAAGGGTAGGCAACTAAGGAAGGCAACAGAAAATATGTTGATGTCTACACTGATGGGTGTACTTCATTTAACTGCTGTCATTCCAAAATGATTAACAGCAAGATTGAAGTGGGAATCATCACCATAAAGGCTATCAACACGAATGGCACAGTTTCTTTTTATTCTCCTCACCTCACATACTACACTAAAATTTCCAGCATTGCTTTTTACTTTTTGGAAGCCAAACATATAAAAAAGATTGAATGAACTCACCAGTTCTGAAATTGTGCTCGATTCCATTCAAATTTATGATCTGGATGTCTGAACAATGTGACAGCCGGAAGCAAAGGATTAAATTCTGCGTTTGGTGTGCTAATTATGACCACAGCTGGAGACATAAAGCCAAATACCACCTCTGGAAATTTCTCTAACTCTTTTGCCTCTAGGTGTTCAATTCTGAAAGTTGAAAATTACAACACCTTTCTTATTTCCCTAAGTACATCTACTTTTATAATGTAAAGAAACTGAAATAGCTGTAACAAGCGGATGCAATATCATCTGGTGAGGGAATTAAATTTGAACCTAAAAGTGCGAAGTTGCTTTTTTCTTGATCCACCTAGCCTAGTACTGTTTACTTCAAGTACTAAAACCAGTATTATTTTTCCCCAATGCCTGTCTCAAGCTACTTTCTGCATACTTTCCATTGAGACAGGGCCTGGGGCCTTATGTATGCACAGCATGTATGCTGCCTCAAAATTATAGCCCCTTTCCCTTCCAATTTATGCTACCCTTTATCTAAAAGTCCACCAGATCACCCAGTCTCTTTCCTTTCCTCTACACATCTATATCATGTTTTCCAAAGCCTTGCCTTTACTGCACAAAATATACATAACAACATTGTTAGACTGCCTTTCACAAGCATATTAATTTGTGCAACTTTGAGTGCCTAAGAAATTGAAAAGGAAGATTGCACACTATTTCATTTATGGTAAGTGGTTTATAACCAGGAAAGAGAGATACAGAGTAGATAAGGGGCTTTTTATGGGCATCTATACAGGTTTTATTAAAACAAAGTCAGCCTGGAGTTGACTTTTTAAAAGCCCACAAAAACAAGTATTAGATTTTAGTTAAAGACTCACAATTCAATGCAAGTTATCATGTCAAAGCCCAGCATACAGGGGTCTTTGTGAGCAACTGAACCTTGATGGAGGATGACTGTCAGAGGTCTTTCACTTGGCTGGAGATAGTCACCAGGAAGGGGGGACAGTGTGTGCCTAGGAGAAAGGTAAAAGTACACGAAGGAACCCTAGCAATTGTTCCTGCCCGTATCTTTTCCCACTTCTGGTGCCCTGTGCATTACTGAGTTCCAGCTCAAGGCATTAAAAATGAAATGTGATTGTGCAAACAAAATTTGTCAAGTCTTAATGTTCCTCCCCTTGTCAGTACAAAATGGAAACAACAGAATGCTGCCCAATTTCAGAAATGTGTCAGATACCGACACACCGCATATCTTAATCTGCATGGTACTTGCTTCTTCTCATCTTGCCCACAACACAAGGAGAGGCAATCATAGCCCCTGTTGGTTCTAGAGTCTACAAAGCACAACACATCTTAATGTATTAAAAAAAAGATCAACAACTTGCATTGTCCTCTAAGTGTACCTGGCACCCACACCAACTTCCCCCCTCCCCCATTATTATTTGCAGAGATTTGTTTTAAAAAAATAAGCACTCAAAAAAAAAAAAACCCTTGATACTAGGGTGCTGCAAAGTAACACATTAACTTCTGGCATTATCTTGATTTCCAGAACTGCCTACAAACCTAATGGGGCCACAGAGGTATTCTTAGAAAATGAAATTTGTGCATGGCTACATCTCAACACCGCATTTTAAAATGTACTTAGTTCTCATTGAAAAAAATAACAAACGGGCAGGGGTGTGGAGAGCTTGCCCAAAGGCCAGAGAGGGTGGAGGACAACATGTTTTGTCACTTGGTTTTTTGTGATGTAGTGTGCATGAGTTGGTTGGTATATTTGTGGTACGTGTTGCCTGGCTTGTGTATTCCTTATTTTTTGGTTGTGTTTTGTCATTTGGGCTGCTATGCAAGGATGTGAATAGGTGTTCTACACTGGTATTTTGCAGTGCTTTATGGGAACAAATTTATGTTGGCATTTCAGGCTCAGACTGCACTTTGGTCAAATTACTTGACTGCGCCTCATCATTTCGTCTCCTAGGAAACTGTTGATGGAGCAGATAAATTCTGGATCAAAACAGAGGCTTTGTGTTTTGGAACTCAGTCTTCATACCTCCGTCTTCTATTCAGGTTCTTGGACTTGTTACTTTTCTTTGGCCTCACCAATTAATGGCTGTTTTGCCATTGGCATCACAGTCATTTTGTGAGAGCACACACAGTACTTCAAAAATTGCAAATGTGCCCACCAAACCAAACAAGGTACCTGGTTTCATACCAGATATACTGAACAGACAACATAAGAAATAACTGAATTGACAAGTTATTCTTAGTGTATGTTTTATCTGAAGATAAAACTTCTAGAAGATATTTCATGAACATTATATATAACCCACATAAAAAGTCTCTAAGTTGCATATTTCAACAAAAGCACCTCTATTCTCTTGTGGGGGGTTTTTTAAATATAGAAAATAGAGACAAATTAAATTTTACTGATACTGAAACAAAATTAGAAAAAAGATTAGGGGAAAAAATCATTCCTACAGAGCTATCAGAGACCTGATAATAATGATTTTCAAACTAAAAGACCCAACACTAAAGTGAAGATCTAGATGAGGAATACCAATTCAGAAGAGAGGTAAAAAAGAACCTCTCTTCAGGTGCAGTAACCAACTTTCAGTCTTGTGTTAAGAACCGAATTGTGAAATCAGGAAATTTCAGGAAAGCTGTCCACCAACACTTTTCAGAACAAATTGGAAAAATGAAGCATACAGTGGTATCTTGGCTCACGAACTTAATCCATTCCAGGACTCTGGTTGTGACCCAAACTGGTCAAGAGCCAAGTCAAATTTCCCCATAAGGTTCAGTAAATAAGGTTAATCCGTTGTGTAACTTTTTTTTAAATCAGAAAAATGTGAAGCAAAGTGACAAAGAACAACAAAGATCGCAGCCATCTCCCCTCGCCCGGCGATCATGCGGGGGGGGGTGGGGGGAGAAGGATGCAATTGCGGGCACGCTGGGGGGAGGCAGGCGCGCTCAGGAAGGGAACACGGGCGCAATCGCGGCCATCTCCCCCCCCCCCCCCCACAACCGCGAGCGCGTCCATGCATGGAAGGCAGCGCGCTCGCGATTGTCACCCGATTTAGAGTTCACGACCTGCAGCAAATTTTTTATGAAATTTCTGTTCATGACCCGATTTGGTCATGAACTGAGGCGTTCATGACCCAAGGCACCACTGTACTATCTTCCTTTCTCCTGTGCAATATTTGAATTTTTATCTGAGGTTTCTTGTACATGAAAGAATGCAAGAGAATTTTTCCTCCTCACATTTTTTCCTTCATCACATCTTCACAGATATCTAGTCCAACAAGAACTTCAATGCATTTACAGAATTTCAGCATCCAGAGTAGCCGGCAGTCAGCACATCCCAAGTCTGCCACCTGTCAATAAGAATTAGATGAGTACTATTGAATATTTTGCTATGAATATTGTGCAAGTTCCAGATTATATTCTGATATGTTCATGCAGTAAGTATCAAACAATTCCTTAATTCTGGGCATGTCTACCCTTAAAAAACCATGGAACAGTACAACTAAAATCTGCCAAAGTCTCTACAGACCTAGACTCTTGCCCTCGAAGCCATGCATGCACTTATCTATACACAAGCATTGTGTTCAGAAACCCCATGAACACACATACTGAATCTGTGGGGAAGCAGTGTGGCTGCGAGTCCCTCCCTCAGCTTCCCCTCCCCTCTGTATCCACCAGCTGAAAGCACAAAAATGATCCTAGCTTACATTACAGGTTAAGCCATAGTTCTCCATTATTTCTTAGCCAGGGAATTCTAGCTTAATGTCAGTTAACATACAATCTAGCTTATTTTCCTGATTTATTTACCAATTTTAATCAGTTTTCCAGCATGGATATAATACAAAATTCTCACTTCATGCAAGTTGAAGTCATCACACCAAAGCTAACACATGAAAGGGAGAGGGGTGTGCGGCCAAGGCACTCGTCTCTTTTGCATGATCGACTGAATACGGCCTACACATTAGCTCCATAGCCACCCTGTAGTCTTTTCAATGGTATCCAAGATAACACATATACCTAGGTAAGCTTATTTTCAACCTGGACTACATTGTGGAAGAGGGATAAGAAGCTGAGGGTCATCCAAGGGCTCTGGTACAATATAAGCATATACAATAATCCATTTTTTAAAATGGCTTGAGGATGGAAAACATGTTTACTCTACATTATGTGTCAAGAAAATGCAGAGACAGCATAAACATGCAACTTGCTCCCATGTAAGTTAGCAGCCACTACCTGAGCATCCCAACAGGATGAAGTCCATTACAGTTTAAATTCCATTTTCAAAGCCTTTCCCAGCTGCACATTTTCAGTGTTTCAATGATTAATTTTCCCAGTGCTTGGTCTAAGCATTTTGTATCATTTTTGGAAGCGAGAAGCTTCTTCCCAATAAATAGCACCCCGCCTGTGAAATAGCCTCCCTAGAGTAGGAGTACTGCCTCTACTCCCTAGAGTAGTTTTCCTAGCACCTTCATTACAATCTTTTCAGACTTTTATTGCAATGATTAATTTTTATTATTTAATTCACCACACATTGATACTCTCAGCTGTTATATTTGTTATAACATTGCTATACACACCTTGTTTTATCATCTGTTTTTTAGATTGTTGTGATTGTGAACTACTTAGGATAGGACTATTGAAGCAGTCTAAAATCAATCAGCCATTGATATATACAGTATTACACAGAAGCCTTTTGCATGGCTCCACAGATATCCAGTGGATGTTGACTACAATATTACTTAGAGTTATAACTCAAGAGTCTTCCAGACTTTAAAAAAGGAACACAGATATTCCTAGTAATCAGTTGTACAAATTATCCTATGCCAGGAACATGGTGTGTTTTGCTTCTTGTTTAAGTGTTGCACCACCTCACCCACTATCTTGTGGGTGCACCCCACAAAGAATAACACCTCCATGAAAGTGCACATTTAGTTCATTTTTGTTTTGCTGCACTGTGTCATACAACATCAAGAGTATACCTACAAAGACAGTAACTGTGAAGCAGTTATAAAGAGTCTATTTTACCAAGAAACATGTACCAACCTTCTTAGGTTTATATCTGCTCACTAACTGTTTAATAAACTGGTAGCGCTGCATGTACAAAGGTGGTGTAAATGTAACTGTCCCTGCAAGCTCATTCTTTTGCAGCTTTCCATCCATAGTCAAGGCTAGAAACAAAGGACAGGAAACATTAAATTCTGTATTAAAAATGATATTCACAATAACAATTAAATATAGTTATAATAACTACATTGCAGAGTGGAATTTCCTGAGTAAGCTTGTATAGCAAGCATAATTGTAGCCCGCTTTCTTTTAAGATTGAGTTGTAACCTACTTAAAAAAACACATCTTGTAGCCATTTTGACGCATGACGATTCGGTTTCCTAAGTGCATTTTAGTTTTCTTCTCATCTTTTCTCCATGGAGCTGATTTGCAATTATTGATAAAGGCATCAGGATTAGTTTACACCCTTTGATGCTATGCTAGCAATATATGCATTTAAACTCTTGTGGTTAATAAAATTTAATACAAGAATTACTACCAATATTTTACAATTGTTTCACCAGACAGAAATACCTATCACACTATCTTATCCATGTGAGCTTGGAAGTAAGCCATACTGAAATCAACAGGTCTGTTTCTAAATAAAGATTTTTGAGATTAAGTACTAATTTTAATTCACTAATTAAGTCTTTTTTTAAGGAACACAGCATGCAGTAGATAAACACCACCACCTTTTAACATTCACTTTATATGAAGAGCCTCTGACAAGCCTAATCAGCATAAGCCCCCAAACAGTTTAAAATATTTTGACAGGGGAATAGGCAATGCTAACTTTCTAATGGCATGGCAGGTTTTACAAAGTTGTCCTATTAAAATTATGCTGTGCATTTCCAACAAACACTAAATAAGAGCAAACAAAAGTTGATTTTTGCTTCCCTTGCTGGAGTACTCTACATGGCAAATGCTAGATGGACTAATGGCCATTTTCTGTTTCCTTTTCCAGATAACTGAAACAAAAATACTAGGCTCTTTCTCCAAAGTTGTTGTAGGGAAGAAGGGGCCAAGAACACCATTGGGTCCAACCCCATTCTGTTGCCAATTTACACCATCCCACTTGGATAACTGTCCAAGTTAGAGGAGCAGGCTGCATGCTTCAATAAAGAGCTTTTGTAGTTTGCATCTTGCTGGTGGTTTGTCTTCTCTCCCAGTTGGGGTTAGAGTCCCTGACTAAAGTTTACTTGGAAACCATTTTTTTAAAGAAAGAGCCAGGGAGGCAGAGTACTTAAAGGGACTTGGGTGATCTGGATGATCCGCTTGGCCACAGATCCACCTGAGTGACTCTGCACCAGCCACAGGGTCTCAGTCCAACTTACCTCACAGGTCTGCTGTTGTGAGACGAGTAAGAGGAGGACGAGAATTGTGTAAACCGCCTTGAGTTCCTGATAAGGGAAAAAAAGTCGGGACATAAATTACGGATACATGTAAGAACATACATGTAAGCCCTCCAGGTTCAGTTTTAAAACCTGGCGTTTGTGGCCTTCGCAGAAGCAACTCCGAAGGCTCAGTAGAGCAAAACAGAGTCCCAAGAAGCCTGAACTTCCCCAACGCCCCAAATACCCCTTTCCTTCCCGTCCTCTCGCCTCCCATTCCGGCCTCCTCTCCCTCACAACACCCGCGAACGAAGCCGGCGCTGTCTCTCCTTCGTCCGTTGTACGCGCCCCGGACCTTCTTCACCCCACAGCCCCGGGCGACTTATTCCTGCTCCTGGCACAGCCCTCGGGCCTGATCCCCCGCGAAGCCCACAGCAGCCGGCACCACGCCGAGCCGCCCTCTCACCCGCCACCTGCTCAGCCAAACGGCTCCGCCCGCCTAGGCTTCCACCCCACCGAAAAGGCGCCGGAACGGGCCCAGAAATAACCGCACTTCCCGCCGCGCCGCCAGTCGTGTCTCCACCGCGGCTCGTTCCGACCGTCCTTTGTCCCACCCTGCCTCCCCGCACGCTCCCGCGTCGATGCTATGCTCAGGATCGCTTGGGGTTGCGCCCGGGCACGCTCCGCCACGCTCAGCCAAGCCTTCTTCCCAGGGCTGCCTTTTTGCATTGCAGCCACCGAGGAGTAGACGAGTTGGCGCCCTCAGGCAAATCCCTGCAGCGCTTAAATCCTCGCGGTGCAATGCTGTGCGTATCTACTTTGAGTGAAAGTAAGACCCAGTGAGTTCTTTGGGGCTTACTTTCAGGACTGCAGCCTAAATTAAGGCCTTTTTGTTTCAATGGGTCTAACCTAATCATAGCTAAGTCTAGAGCCGGCCTGTTGTCTTTTCTGCTGCCTTCCCATATGGGATGACTACGTCAACGTCAAGCAGATGTGCAGGAGACCAAACATTTTGCTTTTCCCCTTTATTCAGAAGGGTTAACAAGGCCTGCAGGATCATATATTTGTATCATACAAATGTTTATGGCATTAGTTTCTGCTGCTGCCACAGGCAGTATACTTAACAGATCGACCCTATGCATGCTTAATTGGAAGATGTGTAAATAAACATGCTGCATGAGAGAAAGGGGAAAGATTATGCATGACAACCAGAACATACCCATCGAGAAAAGATATGGAACTGCTATACATAAAAGAGCTTTGCTTGTACCACTTTAATAAATAGATGAATTTACACAGCAATTCTATATGCCTACTATAAAAGAAGCTGCATTGAAATAAGCTGCATCAATGGATTTACAGTGCAATTCTATACATGCACTGAATTCAACTAAATTGGTATAGGACCGATGTCTTAAGACATAGATATAAATACATATATATGTCCTATACATACCCACTGGGAGTAAGCCCCACTGAACTTTGGGGGGTTTACTATTAGTGTCATAGGTTCTTATGGATTAGAGCCTATTTTATCAGAAGCCTAGACCAAACTTCTGAGGCAGCATACTTCCAATATGCTGGGAGCAAAGAATAAGTACATCAAGTACATCCTTGCATCCAACAAATTATTATTACATTTCATCAAGTCATTTCCAACTTAAGGCAACTCTATGGATGAAAGCCCTCCAAAATGTCCTATACATGACATTCCTGCTTAGCTATTCCACATAAATTCAAGACTGTGGCTTCCTTTATGGAGTCAATCCATCTCATCTTTTTCTTCCTTTTCTTCTGCCTGCAACTTGCCCTAGCATGATGGTCCTCTCCAGTGAGACTTGCTTCTCATGATAGCTTCATTTTTGTCAATTTTGCTTCTAGAGAAAGTTCTGCCTTGGTTATATTTATAATGCACATATAGAGAGGGGAAAGGAGAGAGGGGAAAGCAGTCCAGTCAATACCCTGGACTGACAGAATGACAAACGACTGACAGCTCTCTTACAGTACCATGTTCCAAATGCATCCATTTTCTTCCTGTCAGCTTTTTCTGCTGTCCAGCTTTCACAGTACTATTCATCCTTGTCCTTTGCTCTTTCCCAGTATCTCATTAAGTGCCTTCCACCCTGGGAGTCTCATCTTCTGGCACTATCTCGTTTCATTTTGGATTGTTTCATCATAGGGTTTTCAAAGTAAGCAATTCAGAAGTAATTTATCTTTGCTGCCTTCTGTGCACTACTAACCAGAGTTAATTTGGACATCACTGCCATTGCCTGTGAAATATCCTTGTGAACTACCACTGCTGCCAAGTAGCTGCCCTTCAGAAGTTTCTGTGCCTCCATCACCATTAGAGATATCCATTATCTTCTTCTGATGTGACTGTTACTCTGAAGAGGTTGGATGTATCTGTAGTAAAACCAACTGCCATTCTTGGCAGGCATCCCAGGATGACCAGGATTTGGAAGAAAAGGAAGAAGACAACATTGGGGAAGCTGAGATGGACGTTTAGTTGACTAAATGGGAGAGACACAGGCCTTTGAAGCACCCAAAGGCCACTGCCCACAGCTTTCCAGGTTGACTAGGATAGCAGGACTGCTTTGGAAGAGAGAAGAGGGGTGGAGCAAGCAGAGAGGGGAAAGCTGTTGCCTTGCCTGACTCCATGACAAGGTGTCAGGAGAGATGAGCTGCCCAGTTAAGAGGGCTTGCATAGGTCTCACTGACGAGCCCTTCACCGGTAGGAGACAGCCCTCCGAGTTACTGAAAGGGAAGGATGTTGGGGAGAAGTCCCTGGCTGGGATCAACTCTCTTTCTTGAACAGAGGCTAAGCTTCCAACCTCATTAGATGGCTTTTAGAGTTGCTTCTTCTTGTAGCTGCAGAGTGCTAATAAAGATCTGCTTTGCCTAAAAGCATGAAAGGGAGAGCTGAGCTCAGGACAGCATCTTAGTGTGGTTCCTCAGCTTTCACCATTCCGCCTTGTGTGACCTACTAGGAGACCGGCCTAGTGAGAGAGCTGGCCTCCTGGCAACATTGCTCTCAGCTTCTCTGACACTCTCAAACCTCCTCACCCTGTTAAGGTGTGCATGGGGGGGGGGGGGTTATATTTATATCCCACCTTTTTCCATGTCAGAAACCCAAAGTAGCTTCCATAGTCCAACTTCTACCCATACCCTGACGTCACCTCCAAAGGAAGTAAGGTGCATGGCTACTGGGAGGAGGACTTCTTTGGTTTTGGCAACCTGGCTGTGGAATAAGTTTTCAAAAGAACCCAGCACCTACTTTGTATTCTTGTCTGCACCAGGTGACAAGCATACTAACAATAGAACTTTTTAACTTTTATTTTAATATAGCATATCCTGTACTGCTGCTATGCCTCTATGCTTATTCAGTTGCAGTTGCTGTGATTTCATTGTTTTGTGTTAATGTTTGTTGTTTGTGTATTTTTACCTTTTGGTAAGTGCCCAGAGAGCCTCCACTACTGGGCAGTATAACAATAAAATAAATAAGCCCCTCCCCAATTTATCCTCACAACAACCCTGTGAGGTAAGTTAGGCTGGGAATCAATGACTGGTCCAGAGGCACCTACTGACTTTCATGGCAAAGTGGGATTAGAATTCAGATCTTCTGAATGCCAGCCCAACCCTAACTACTATGTTATGGTACAAATTACGACATAGCTCATGGAAGACCATGCCATTGTTACTATAGGACGGCAATGCATTTCAGGAATAACTCAGTACTCCTAAGTAGGCAATGCACATAATTGTAGGCCGGCTTGTGGCTCTCAGATGACGGACCACAACTCCCATCAGTTCTAGGCAGCATGGAGGAAGGTGAAGCACCATGGGAGCTGGAAGCCAAGCCATGTGAAGGGCCGCAAATGGGCTAGCCCCATTATTATCCATCTAACTGCGCTTTTTTAAGACGCCCCAAGATTATTATTTTTTAAATACTGACAGGCGGGGATCCCATACATGCATTTAGATACAGGAACGAGAAAAGCCGTTCCTGCGAAACGGCAGCATTCCCCACCGTACGACAACGTGCTCTACCCCGGCGCTGCCCCGAGGCCTTCTGAGGCCGGCGTAGAAGGCAATGCGCATGCTCGATCCAGCCGCAGCACCGATTGGCCGCGTCCGTCCCGGAAGGCTTTTCCGTCATTTCCGCGGGAGCCGCCATCTTGTCGGCGGTTGGCGGAGGTTCGCTGGGCTCAACCTGGAGAGCGTCAGCTGGCCTTACTCGCGCGGCCTTCTCGCCCGCTCCTTCGGCGTAAGCGAACCGCTCCTCGCCGGCGCCGCCATGGCCAACAACTGCCCCATCGTGGGCGCCGGGAACTGCCATCAACCGCCGCAGCAGTCGCCGCCGCCGCAGCAGCCGCCGCCGCCGCCGCCGGGCGTCCCGCTGCACCCGCAGGCCGGAGCCGTGTTGCCGCTGCCGCTGCAGAGCGCGGGCCCCAAGCCGGCGGCCTCGGGCAAGCAAGGCAACGTTCTGCCTCTGTGGGGGAACGAAAAGACCATGAACCTGAACCCCATGATCCTCACCAACATCCTGTCCTCGCCTTACTTCAAGGTGCAACTTTACGAGCTCAAGACCTACCACGAGGTGGTCGACGAGATCTATTTCAAGGTGAGCGGGCGTCGAGGAAGGCAGTCGGCCTCGCGAAACACGAGGTTTGTCTGCCTAGGCTTCTCAGTCCGGCCTTAACCCTATGGCTGAGCAGGGTCATCTCCGGTCTCTGCTGATTCCACCTCCCCCGAATAGTCCCTAAATAACCTAGGAACTGGCCCTTCTCTCTCTTTCCTCCCGCGATCTCGAAACGAACGGATGAGGCCCTCGCCGCATAGCTGTTCCCATGTCGACCAGAGGGGTCGGTGTAGTTGTAAGTAGCGGCATTTTTTTTCAGCAAATGTGGCTGCAGGGTTTTTCGCTTGAATTCCCGTCTGTGTAGTCTGAAAACTGCTTTTCATATCTGAGAGGGGGTCAGGTCGAGTTGCCTAACTTTTCCACACCAAGACTAGCTAAGATGTTTGTCCAGTATGAAGATTTATTGCCAACATCTGCTAAGGAGCTTTGTATGTGTGTGACAGATAAAATGAATGAGAAGGAAGAAACTAGAGCTTACACAAAGCATTGTTTTGACGTCTTTCTTTTCTGTCCAATTTCTGACAAAAAAAGATCTAAATCAGTATTTCAAAATAACTGGTCAATATTTATTTCATCTTTTCCCCAAGGATCTCGGGGTAGCATATGGTTCTACCTTATTTTATCCTCAACAACCCTGTGGGGCAGGCTAGGCTGAAAGGTGGCATCTGGAGCAGTGATCCATTGAACTTTCATCGCCGAGTATGAGTTTGAACTTGGATCTTCCAAGGGCTGGTCTAAAACTCTACCCACTATGCAACAAACACACATACTTAGTGTTCATTGTACAATTACAGTAGAACATTATATTGCTGCAAAATTGTTCTGCCTTTGCATTTAAAACCATAGTCTAAAACTTGGGTCTCAACCATTAATCATGTCTTTCCATCTAAAATGAGATGCTGTAATCCTGTGTGTTTCAGATGATATGTGTGGAACCTGTTTAAATTGATCTGTGTGAGTGTGACTTTAGTTGTTTTTCCTCCCTCTCAAACACACTGAAACATTGCCACTGGAGAGAGAATTTTTATCAACCCATGTACTTTTATTGAATCCATTCAGCTTTAAAACCTTAAAAGTAGATTTCTCAGACTTGGAATTGTCATAGCTGAAGTATGGATTGAGCAAGCTTCTAGAAACTGGACTACCATGTCTTAAATTCCCTTCTGATCACTCTGCTACTGCAAAACTCAGCTTCTTTCAAGTAACATTCATTCATTTAAAGCTTTTATATGCTGTCCTATTATATAAATATCTCAGGATGGCTTACAGTGCATTGACATGGAAGCCAAATGAATGCAGAAGGAAAGACCTGAGGCTCACAAGTTTTACCCTGGGTAAAATGGTAGGCCTTCTTAATTAGCTGTACATTGAACTGGCATGTCCATTCACCTTTGCTGAGCTGGGAAGATGTGTGCCTGCAGCTGAATGGGTAACCACATGAGGATGTGGAGCATGGGGTTGGACTTGATGGCCTTTCAGGTCCCTTCCAACTCTACTGCTATTCTGTTCTGTTAATAGGCTTGAGTCCCAATACTTTTAGTTGGGTCTACTTCAGTAGGACTAGCAATTGGTTTAGAACAGTGTCTCTATTGTAACACTTGTATGTTCAGATCCCCTTTGGAGCCAGTGCAGAAAGAACTGTGTTGCTAGGGTTGTAAGAGCAACCTTGGAGAGAAGTTTGGAGGTGTACTTGGGGAAGAGGAAAAAAACTGGCACCTTCAAGATACAAGGTATTCTGGCAGAACCTCAGCTTGCTCCTATTTTGACATGCTGCACTTTGACAGTCTAAGGTGGTTTGCAGAGTAGGAGCAGCAAGGAGGTGACCTTTATTTTCACGCTTCTCTCTTCCTGCACAGGATGATGTCATGTTCAGAGAGTTGTGTGCATCCTGTTGGAACTGTGCCTTAAATGGAGTGAAATTGTAGCCCAAATGAATTTTGTCCACTTCTGTTCTATGAGTGTATATTCATACCCTAAAAATATGAAAGTTATTTGCATTACCAAGATTAAATTATCACGTTGCATTTCTTGATTCATCAGATTCAATAATTTTCAGTTACTCTTTGTTTCCCCGAACTTCTGTTAGTTCAGTGGTCAAAGTGTGCTATAGCATGACATGATTTTTTAAACCTTTTTAAAACAAACAAAAATTTGTGTTACTTTTTGGCTTCAGGAATGTTGTCCCAACCTAAATTTTGGAATAAAATCTACTTGCTAAGAAAGTAGATTAATTCACCATTAAACCAATCATAATGGCCTAATTAATGTATGTAAATTCTAACTAATTCAGAGGAAAAAGGTAAAATATTTTCAATATTAAGTGCAAATACAAGCAGCATTTTAAATGTTAATATTATTGAATTTTTCGGGCCAGGGTGGCTTATTTTATATTGTACATTTGTAATTTATTTTAATGCATATATTTTAAAATGTTATTTAACTTATTTGTTGTAAGCCGCCCCGAGGCTTCGGTGAATGGGGCGGCATAAAAATGTTTTAATAAATAAATAAAATACAAGCCAAATGCAATACAAGCAATTAGAGAACTATAAGCCCATCACACAGAGTGGTAGCTAGACATAGACATAGTGATCATTTGATCTAATGTCAAGCCAAGGTTTAACATATGAACAATGGTGAGGAGCCTGGGGTTTTATGTTCCCTTTGACAGGTCTTTCTCCGTTTTTTGGTTTTTTAAAAAAATTTCATTGCTAATCCTAGAATGCAAAACAAGCACGAACTTCAGTTTGCTGGTTTGGCTGAAATAATAAACCGTGCTTTGTGTCAGACCAATCCTAAGACTATTAATTATGAATTAATGTAATGTGAAACTAGAGTTATGAGGTCCTGGAGAATTCGATCTTTACGTAATAGAGCACAAAGCATTAGAGAATCATTGTTCTTGTGTCTGCTGTAGAATATACAACACTCAAATTCACCTCACAGATGCTACCATTTTTAGAAGAAGCACATACAGTACCTTTATTGCTTATTAATTGTTTCCTACCTCCTTCTGGTTTGGGGAATTATTTTTCCAAAAAATAATTTTTTAAAAAAATTTCTAGATTAAAGTTTAGCTCTGACTACACTCTGACATCAGGTATATGCCTGATGCCCTACCACTGCATCTTTCCTTGAAACTGTCTTAGTATCGGTAACTGCTTGGTATCATCCTGGACATGGGACAGGATCTGGCATGGAGATTGCAATTGCAGAACTACCAGCTGGATGAGCCCTTTTTGCAACTGTATTCACAACATTTGGAGCACTGATCTTTTTCTTTAAACAAGGGAAATTGGACGTAAGACATTACTGCTGTGCTTGTGGTGATGTTCTTTATCTTATGTCAGTGATGACTGGAGATTGACTTCAATGATGACTTCAGATTGATCATCTGTGATACTTGCTGTAAGGAAAATTTGTTCTGTGGATTAAGAAGAATCCATTCTGATAATCAGACCAAAGACAATATCTAAACTTTCCCTTGTACTGGTGGGAGTGACCATCAGTGCAAGAGCAAACTAGTGGTTTCTGCAGCAACCAGAAACCAGCCAAATCTAATGTGTTTGGAAGAGTATTCTGTTATGGAAATGATAGTTTTATGGACTTTCCTTGATTGCTAGGCTTCCATTGTGTTGGTAGTCATTACTGCCAGCTTAATAGTGTGGCTGGATGGCCTGCACTGGATACTGATCCAAAGCTAGTCCAGCTTTCCCCCAGAGCCTAACCTGATGCACAGAAGGCTGTGAAGTCTGCAAATCTGCTCTTTGACCCCAGCAGTTGTAGTTCAGAGACATAGTCCATGTGAAGCTAGCTTTTTCATTCAACTTTCACAACTAAAATGGATAGAACCTGTTTTCCATTCATTGGTGTAATCTGTTTAAAGCTCTTGAAGCCAGTGGCCATTATGATAACTTTTAAGTTTCCTGGTGATTAGCATTTTTTCATGTTCTTGATTGAGATTGTAATAATCTGCGTATTTGTATATTCTGAGACTTGATATATTGAAGTAATGTTCTTTATTTAAGTGGGGAATGCAACTTTAAGTTAAAATGTGTGTTATATATTGCCTGTTTTCTCAGGGGAAAATAAAATGTAAATCTTCTAGAAGCGTCCCGTATAACACCAGTTCTGAAAGAAAGCCCTAAACAGCTTGGGGCCCTGCTATCTAAAGGACCGTTTACACCCATATATACCTGCTTGCCCCCTCAGATCAGCTCAGGAGGCCCTTCTACAAGAACTATCCCTCAGGGAGATGAGGGGGTGGCAAGTAGGCGAAGGACTTTTTCTGCTGCTGCTCCCCATCTTTGGAACTCCCTCCCTAGGGAAATTCGTGTGGCATTGCCTTTGTTTTCCTTGCAGTGCCTGGCGAAGACATACCTTTTTAGAATTTTTTTAACACTTAGCCTGAATGTTGTGGCCCTTTTTATATTGCTTTCATAGATGTTTAGATTTGTTGTTTAAATAGGTTTTAATGTGTTTTATTTTGTTCCATGTACTGTAAACTGCCTAGGTGGCCTATAAATACTTTTAGGTATATAAAAATAAAATCTCAAATCATAGAATGGTTGATAATTTGATTTCATATTTGCAGGTTACACATGTTGAGCCTTGGGAAAAAGGGAGCAGAAAAACAGCTGGCCAGACAGGGATGTGCGGAGGGGTAAGTAGAAGTACGTGCCTTCTGAATTCTTGGAGTTTTTAACATGGTAGTGAATGATTTGCATAGTGTGACACTGAGCATATGAAAAATACACTGTGTAAGTTAATTGGTAGGTCAAACCATTGAAGCCTTAGTTGACTCATTAATGAGGACATATTTTCAGTAGGATTCAGTAGTCATCCTTTTAAATTAGCTTGTTTGTGATTTGCTGTAGTAATATGGAATAAGCCATAAAATATTAAATCCAATATTTCATTCTATAATACTGAATGCTAGCATTCCGAACTGAATGTAATTTATTACATATCAGAGTTACAAGGAGGCTAAAGGAAAAGTTTATTAGACTAACTTATTAAAATTAATTGGTGAAAAGAATTCCATGTTAAAGAACACTAGCATTGCGCATACACAGACAATCATAGTTGCAAGAGGAACTGTACACATGCAGACAGGTTCTGTACATCCGTTGTTTGTGTGGGCATGCCAGTGATACAGGCAGAAAGCACATATGGAAAGCTTTCCATTATAGCATTTCCCTGTGGAAGATTTTCCATTTTTAAAAATGCATTGTTTCTCTAACAAAAATTAGTAACAGAAGACTGTATCTGCAAAATGTATATGTCTGACAGGGACCTATTTGGAAGTGCTAATATTAGCATTAATAAACCAGTGCATTTTTATTTAATTTTTTAAAACAATGTAATACAAATGCTTACTATTGAATTATCATCTTAAAATATTTGCAAGTAGTTCACATGTAATGACAAACCTTGGTTTAAATATATGAGTTAGGTAACAATTTTTTTGTTACATGTAAACCCAGAACAAAGGTTGTTAACCACAAACCATACGAGGGGGAACCCATGGTCTTGGTTTAGGACCACATACTGATTGTGGGTTATTTAGCTGCAGCATCCATTGGTGGGAATTAAATATGCGACTCCTGCTCATGGATCATCATGCTGTATGAACCAGCAAGTGTGGGTTATGCAAAGGTTAACCAAATTTCACAAAACCCTGAAATAGACCCAACATTCTCCTGAGGGAAGCAATCCAGGGACTAAGAAAAAAAAGCAAGGTTTGATTGTTCATTTCTAAACAAGCTCCTGGCTGGGCAAAAAAACCATGTTTTAAATAAGCCATTGGTTAGTTTTATGTGAAAACTAGGCCTTAACATTGCCTCTTTCCCTGTGAACAAACAATTGTAGACCTGATTTCTGGATGGGGCTCTTCTGGTTCAGGACATGCTAATGTGATCACTCACTACTGAACACCATGTGGTCAAGCAAGTGGTGGCCTTGGTTTTGTGTTCATGTCTGCAGAAAAAGATGTATTAACATTTTATGTACTGCAGTAGGTCTGTATTACTCTTGGGTTAAATAAGTTGTTTCGTTTCTTCCTAATTTTTAAAGGTGCGTGGCGTTGGGACTGGAGGTATAGTGTCTACAGCCTTTTGTCTCCTGTACAAGTTATTTACCCTGAAGCTTACTCGTAAACAAGTGATGGGACTAATAACTCACACAGACTCCCCATATATTAGGGCCCTTGGATTCATGTATATTAGGTAAGTGTCAAAATACTTAGATGTCATCTTATTTTGTTTGCAGAGAGCATTATTAAATTTACACAGTCTCTTTGTACTTCAAGGTACACACAGCCTCCAACAGATTTATGGGACTGGTTTGAATCCTTCCTTGATGATGAGGAGGTATGTCAACAAGGGTAATATTTTGTTTTCTTTTTTTCTTTTATTTTCTGAAATGTTAAGTAAAAGAACTTTGTGATATACCTCTAAGCTGGAAAGCATTAATGAAATTTAAAAATTATGTGTACATGCATATGATAAACAGTTAAATTTCTTATGATTTGCAAACTTTCCAAGAACATTAAAGGATATTCTTATTCCTTTATAAAGTATGTTGGGAATTTATTTAATCTGTTGCCATTCTAAGCTCTTTGCAGGGGAAATGTATTGGCAGTAAAAGTTTTATTCTTCGGAGAAATATTCGTGCTTTTTGACTATACATAAAGCTAGCAAAATCAAGTGGAAGTTCGTTTTTTAACACAAGTAAATGGCCAATATTTGTAAGAAGTGAATTGACTGGAAAATTTCAATACAAAGGCTTGTGAGTACATCTTTTGCACTCCCGGTAGAGTCGCTTTTCCTAATTTCTAATTGGCAGCACTGCTTGATGAACTCGTAAATTATTTTTGAGCTCTTTTCAGTAGCTATTCGGGCTCCACAGAGACCTGCTGAAAGTTTAATTGCTCAAGCACACATGCAGTGTTTTTAACATGGGTTCTCTTTTCAGCAACATTCATACTACACATTGGCCTTTTCCCTTAGATTACAGTACTGAGTCTTTCTTCTACAAGCAGTCATTGGAAATTCCTACTAATAATTTGCAATAGATTTTATGAGTTATTGCCATACCAAAAATTTAGATCCTGATCACACGTTGTCTGGCTCAGAGTATGTGACACTCTTTTAGGATAGATTGTTTTTCTGTGGCTACAGTTCTTTCTTTAACATATGATACAAAATATAGTGGTGGTCTCCAAGGCTTTTTTGACTCAGCGGCACCTCTGGGAATTTAAAGAACTACTGTGAATGCTGCTGCGATATAGTTCTCCTAGAGGGAGGTATCTAGTCACTTAATGACTGCCATGAGAGCCTGGTTTGTTAAAAACAAGCCAGAGAAGTGGTTCAGGGGAGGGAAATGGCAAAACTACAGACTGGGAGGAAGGAGAAACCAGCAAGGCACATGGGGGGGGGGGTCAAGAAACTAAAAGGGTAGAGGCCAAGATGGAGAGAAACTGTGAGCTAAAGTGTATGGGGAAGTAGCGAGACTGGAGATGGAGGCAGGAAGAGCTCAACAAAGGAATAGAGGTGAAAGGAAAAGTTAAAGAAGACTATTGTTTTTCAGGATTTTCCTTTTTAAAAAATTATTTGAAAGGGTACAAGTAGTGGGTAACTTTCTGGATACTATTGGAAGTCCCCATGAGTGCCATGATATATTCTGACACTATAGAATGGCATTCCTAGTTCCTGAGAGTACACTGGTTCATTATAATTTTTGTTCCCTTTTTTTCATGTAACTACCTGAAATTGCAATAACACCAAGAAATCACTTTTGCCCAACACTTTAAATTGTTTGCCACTGTTAAATATGCAAAAGCAGTTCAGTGAATTCTTTCTTCATCTGTCTAAATGTTATTAATGCTTTGACTACTTCACTGATGCTCTATTTTTGTGTGTACCTTTCAGGAACTAAATTTAAGCTGATGTGTGTTTTCTTCTTTAGATCTCTGTGCAACAATTTTATTTGGGAAAACTGTGTATCTGAGCACTTAAATGTGTGTGAGTGCAAGCAGTTTTACATTTAGATTTTCTCTTCCTGTTTTAGATAACAAATCTCACTTTCCTTGTGTGCTTGCACTATAGGTTTGGGCCTGACAATAGCTGACTAACATGTCCTGAGCTGTGAGAGGGCATAGCAAGAAGGCCTTCATGCGGTAATGACCCTTTTCCGAGACAATGGTCATCATGGATTATGCGTTTCCAATTATTTGTTCCTTTATTTCTTTTTTGCATAACTCTAAATTAGAAACCTCACTGCTTCATGGCAGTTGGTTTGCTATTGCTTCCAATTTAGGTAGGGTCCATTTGTACTACAACTTTTTCTGGTCATTTTTAGACAGGAAATGAAGTCCAAACTATAATTAGGCCACAGTTTTGAGTAGTGGCCATGGTCCTCAGAAATGAGTTATTAATTTAGAACATTATGTTCTATTTTGTGGCATAACAATACAAGATGATAGCATACACACTAGCTGTGTAAGGGGATTTCACACTAATCAGTTAAGAAATGGACCCTTTACCCTCTGGCTGCAGGATTGGTGTGCACCTGCATGCATATACATTATATCAAACTCCAAGCCTGTAATATCTGGCCAATTGCAAAGGTACAAGAGTTGAAGTTCTGAGCAAAAACAGTTAAGCCATCATATCTGAAATTTGAAAAATGACAATCAGTACAGTAGCATTTGTTTCTAAACCCAATGTTAGATGGTTTCTCACAGTCAGGATCTGTGTTTTGTTTTCTGTCTGTTTTTTGAAGGACCTTGATGTGAAAGCAGGTGGCGGCTGTGTCATGACCATTGGAGAAATGCTGCGCTCCTTTCTTACTAAGCTTGAGTGGTTTTCTACATTGTTTCCGCGGATTCCTGTGCCAGTTCAAAAGAATATTGATCAACAAATTAAAGCCAGGCCTAGAAAAATCAAGAAGGATGGCAAAGAGGGAGTAGAAGAAGTAGACAGACATGCAGAGCGTAGACGTTCAAGGTTGTACATTAACTTTACAAAATAGTTACTTAATGTAGACTTTCTCCTATAATTTCGCATGATCAAAATATCCCATGTAACTATTGGGAGTGTGGACTTTTAAAATGAATGATAACATTTATATAGTGTTTCATCATGGTTCACCTTATCTTAGTACTCTTCTAATCACCTCTTCTACAAAGAATCCACTATTCTGCTATAGCAGATGAAGTGTACTGATGCTTGTATAAATCCAGCTGAGGTCCTTTTAGCTAGGTGATATTTAAACTGAGGCATGCATTTTTAATCTTTATTTAGGGTGCCACTGTTTCCCTGTAGATTCTCTGTGGGTGACCCCAATTCCAAAGTGAGAGGGCATATTTGAACAATTAGCAATTAAAGCATCACTATATTAAATGGTTCTGCAAATCCATTGCTGTTTTATTGGATCAGACCAAGGTCTCCCTAATCTAGCATTCTTTGAGAATCACATCAGCGTTGTTAGGTGATCTCTCAACAGAGTTTCTGCCCACCTCTCATATACTACACCAGCTATAGCACAGTTGGTGATTCATGCAAAAATCTAAAAGATATTGGAATAGTTTTGTGAACTTGAAATTACAAGAAAATAAAATAAGGAAAGTACAAAGGCTTCTTTGCTAAAAAACCTTGTTGGAAAAACTCATTTTCCTAAGTATTTCTCTTCGTGCAGGTCTCCAAGGAGGTCCTTGAGTCCCAGGAGGTCACCTAGAAGATCAAGAAGTAGAAGTCGTCACCGGGAAGGCCGTGGATCATCCAGTTTTGATAGAGAATTGGAAAGGGAAAGGGAGAGACAAAGACTAGAGCGAGAAGCTAAAGAGAGAGAAAGGGAAAGGAGACGATCCCGAAGTTCTGATCGGGCATTGGATCGTAGGCGAAGTAGAAGCCGAGACAGGCACAGAAGTCGAAGTCATGACCGGAAAGGAGACAGAAGAGACAGGGAGAGAGAGAGGGAGAAAGAAAATGAACGAAGTAGAAGGAAGGAGCGTGACTATGACAAAGAGAGAGGTATTGAAAAGGAAAGTGAGCGTTCCAGGGAGCGAGATCGTTCTAGAGAAAAATCAAAAGACAGAAAAAGTAAGAGTGAAACAGATGAGAGAAGGCACAAAGATGACAAAGATGAAAGGAAGCATAAGGATGACAAAAGAGATTCCAAGAAAGAGAGGAGGCATAGCAGGAGCCGAAGTAGGGATCGAAAACACAGGAGTAGGAGTGTGAGCAGGAATGCTGGTAAGCACAGTAGAAGCAGGAGTAAAGAGAAGTCAAGCAAACACAAAAGTGAAAGTAAAGAGAAATCAAATAAGCGGAGTAGTAGCAGAGGAAGAACTGATGGTAGTGAAAAGTCCCGGAAACGAGACCTTAGTCCCAGTAAAGAGAGATCACGGAAACGTAGTAAAAGCAAAGAACGTTCCCACAAACATGACCACAGTGATAAGGACCACTTAGACAAACATGAACATCGAAGGAGCCAAAGTACAGAACGAGAGAATCAAGATAAACAATCTAAAAACAAAGATGAGACTGTATGAATGTTCAGAAGTGGATCACATTGAATCCTATAAATGTTTTGAAAACTTATTTTTTTCTTAAAAGTTGAGATTGTGCAGTAGTTGATGAGCACTCTTCAACCTCCCTCTAGGCTGCAGATCGTCATTTCCTATTTTGAGTAGGGAAGTGCCTTTGTAACCCTGTTAAATGCGTTGACTATTCCAGCCCATTTGTTTAGTTGAATTCATGATGCAAATCTGTGCATTTTTTTAAATTGTTCAAATGTTTTTGAAATGTACAATCTGTACATATGTCCTGAAACTGTTCTAATCCCTTTGGCATGGTTTGCCATGTTGGTTAAATTTGTATACGGCAATAAAACTGCCACTAATTCTACTTTGTTTTATAGATGTGGAATTATGGTTTCTATCTTTGAATTAGCATGGCTGTGCTTTGCATAATAGTATGGCAGAAGCTTTTAAGGATGGGTCTTGAACGTGTATTATATCTAAAATATTTATGTACATTCAACATCCATGAAGGTTCAGTTCTAGAACTCTTTGTGTCCAGTTGTACCTCTTGGGAAGTCATTTAAAAACCATCTTATTTGTGAAATTCAACTAGGTGTTACATTTAGATTATGTTTTTCAGAGGAGGTAGCAATGCAAGGCAGGGATTTAGGTTTTGCTGAGGTTTGTTGAGTAGTTAATGCTACCTCATAGGTACACTGTTAAGATTGCAAAGCCTATGTGTCATACCTACATAGACTTCCTGGCTAGCTTTATTCATGTAAAGATTCTTTCAATACAATAGCCTTACGTTTTCATTAAAAATCTTGTGTTGCTGCCCTGTCATTCATGAAACAACTCTAGGATAACAAATGTTGAAAGAGGCTGAATATGGGGGAGGCAGGAAGAAAAACTTCAGTTTCAGGCTTTCAAATCATTTTTTATATTATAAATGAAAGTCACATTTAAAGCATTTTCCTAGTGTTTTTTTAAAATGCATTTTTTACAAAGTCATGATCATTGCTTGAGCTGAAAAAATTCTCTCTGGCAACAAAAAGTAGCTACTTTTTTAGAACACTTGATTACTTGTGAGATAATGTCAAAATGCAGTATTGAAAGAGAAAATCATATCACAAAAGTTCATATCTGTTTGGTAGACTTGTTCTAGTGACCTGTATAAGAAATATAAAATATCTGGAATAAAGACTGGATTAATTTATGTGTGGCTATCCCCAGTTGTTCATTGCCAGAAATAGCAATGTTGGACTTCTTATTCATAAAAAATAGAAATAAAAGTTAATGAGTAGACCGCCTACTTTATGGATAGCATGGTAGAAATATTCAACAGGTCAAGCTAGTAAATGTTTTTCAAAGTAAAATATGGATGGAAAAACCTGGTTTTTTAAATCTCCCTTGCTACATATATCCCATTGGTTCACTAGTGCTTATCAACATATTGGATAGTCAAGCTTTAATGTAGAGATACTGTGTCCATCCTCTAGGAATTAGAGAAAAGAACTATATTTTTAACATTTCATGATGGATAGCTGACATTTATACCTCTTATTATATTTATGAAAAGGTTCACAGTAATGGCTCATTTCTGTAGGGGGATCTAAACCAAAGTGTTGTAATATACAACACTTAATTGGAAATTCATGTTGTTCCTGCTAGATAGGTTTGCTAGAAAGTTCTGAAAAGGTGTGTAAAACAGCCTGGGCTAACTGATGATACAAGGTGTTATCCAATGTTGCCCTTGCACAGGAACCTAGTGCTTGCAAGCCATTGTGGCACATTTCCTGGTTCAGAGGTTTTCTCAAAATGTATTATCAGTATATAGGCACCCCAGACTACTGGTTTACTTAATGTATTCAGATCCTTCATACAACCAAATGCCATTTTAGATGACAGTTAAATCTTCATTCTAGTTAAAGGACATACAGACTTTTCCCAGAAATTGCTCTCTTGGATAAGATTTGTGTTTTGTTTATTCGTTATAAAAATATCAGCAAGCATGCTAAATACAAAGCTTGTGCCTATAGATATTTAAACATAGGCATTCAACATTATCTTAAGGCTTTTAAGCAGAGCAACAACTGATTAGTTTCAAACTTAACCAAAATGGTTTGCAGGCAACTGATCCAGAAGGATAGTTCCCACTGAAGTGTGTTCCATATCTCCTTTGTTTTCTTTGGAGGCCATAAAATATGTTTTGGCTTATTATTTACATTCCATTAAATTATTTCTCTAAGGATACGTTTATATGATTATGTAACAATTTTACTGTAATTTAAGTATGAAAAATCTTTACATTCTATGACATTGGAGTGTTTGTGGCACCATCCTGTCATGTGGGTATGTGCTCTTGTATTTGCAATCTGAACTATTCCTCTTGTTATCCTGTCTGTTCACCCTCCTGTTCTTAAGATCATGCCTAATAACTCCCACACAGAAATGTGAAAGTAAATCACTGTAAATCTAAAATGGCACTAAACACAAGAGCCTCAAGAACTAATGAGTCAAACATCAAGTGCAAATTATCCAGCACTAGTTTCCCATCTGGAAAATCTCAAATATACAAGTTTAATTATTTTTGTACCAAGAGACTAAGTTGCGTTGACTTGAGCTTTGGAATTCCATATTTTGATCCAGAATTTCTTGGAGGAATCTTGAATACTGGATGTCTTAATTTTACAATAATGGCAAAGTAGTATGAAGAGTGGACTTCCCCAACAGAAGTTAGCTCAAGGTAGCATTTCTAGTACAGGAAAAATCAGGAGAACTCCTGAAGAAGTGTGTTCTGCTGATTTTTTCCCTCCTGTAAGTGCTAATTTGAGCTAGTTTTGGGGGTTGGGCTATGAAGCTTCACCTTGAATTTGCCATCATTCCCACAGCACATGATCAATGCTTCCAAGTGCCAATGTCTGATACTGTCCATTAGGATTCAATACAATCATTGGGGTGTAATAACATAAAAGCCAGAGGTTTGGTTAGGAACAAAATTGTCTGAAATAATACTCAGATACTCTTACCAGATTCTTTCAGTTTGCTTTTCCTGTATCATTAGATGATCTGCATTTCTCCTTCCTCTGTAAATCACTGGAAAGTTACAAAAATTCTTAAAACCATTAATTCATCAGGAGAGAATTTTTAAAACTCATTTTAATCCCATGTGGGTACAACTGGGGTTTCTCTTTCAGTCCATAAAATGAAAAAATGCGAGAACTCTAGTTGCTTTTAGAGCCACGTATCTGCTCTTTAGAAGGCCAGATACTGAAGATGAAACCCAAATACTTTGGCCACCTAATGAGAAGAAAGGACTCCCTGGAGAAGAGCTTGATGCTGGGAACAGCTGATGGCAAAAGAAGAAGGGGACGGCAGAGGATGAGGTGGCTAGATGGAGTCACTGAAGCAGTCGGCATGAGCTTAAGCGGACTCCAGGGGATGGTGGAGGACAGGAAGGCCTGGAGGAATGTTGTCCATGGGGTCGCAATGGGTCGGACAGGATTTCGCGACCAACAAAAACAACATCTTTAGCTATCCCAGATTTGGGGAGAATAGCTTGTCTAACTGCTGGTGGAGGATCTGATTATAACTTTATCTTTTAGGGAACAACTTTGTACCAGATTTTTCTGTTAGAGGTTTGAATAAATAGTTCAGATCTTGGGGCTGTTGTCAAATATCTAGAATCCAGAACAACCAGGAAATTTGAATTTTTCAAGCTGTATCTACATTGCAAGAGTTTGAAATCTAAAAACTGAATATTCCTGTAATTTAGCTTTCCTAGTGTATATTAGGCTTCATGCAGTGTGCATGGGATTACCAATAAAACCTTGACCATGGTACATTTTGTTATAAAAGTATCCTAAAATAATTAGAATTGTTCATGCAACCTGAAGATTCTGATTTAAATGTCTAAAGATATTTTAAAAGACAGTTCAGCTGAGGTAAAGCAAATCTGACAATGGAGGTATTGACAACTCACCCATTCCTACTGAGCTGCCAGAGCATGTCACTAGAACATGAAACGTAATATTTTAAAACCAGGAATTACTCTTTTCAGAGGATTTCACAAAATAATTTACTGAGGAAAAAATTCTTTAAAATCTTAGTTTTGAATAAATACGGCACTAAATGAATAGAAATAGTGTAAAAGCAGTTTTGTTAAGAGTATTGCCTGTATGATAAAGTTGGCAACTTTTCCATAACAAACTTTTTATCATGAAGCCTAAATGTAGATGAAAGTACTATAGTCTTTTTACATTTCTCAGAAAGCAGTTCTGTGCAAAAACAAGAATTCTTACACTTTAAAGCCTAACATTTGTAATGGCAAGCTTTGTGGAATTGAGTCGGCTTCATTTAATGCAACAGTGGCTATATTGTACAATATATCACACTGTACAATAATGTGGAAAGTCACCAGGCCAAGATAAGTCATCTCTAAGGCTAACAGACATGGAGTCTTGTAGTAACTACCAAACAGCTTGCATAGCCCAATAGTGTTTTCTAGACTAGCCCTCAGGTAATGCAAGTGTTCTACAAAGGTGCTAGTGCTTGTCTCCAATTTGATTTTTGCTGTATCTCTTTCACTGTTGTCCCCCTTCCTTCTCCTTTCCATTTGTCTTTGAAGAACTGTTGATCTTTACCTGAATAGATCTTCTCAGGACAAAATGCACGTTTAGATCCTTTATTGTCAGTTACAGGTGACACCACAACTGTATAAACATCCCCACAGGGTATCTCAGTGATATCGCAGTAGGTCAAGACTCTGTTGGGTGTACAGGTGAAATTTCCTTTTGAGCCATACAGGTCTGTGCTATAATTCACTGACCCTTCCGGAGTCTGCCAGTATATACGTATACCGTTGTTGCCCAGCCTATACAGTTTAACCCCAGATGGGCAGCAGGGCCCTAAGAAAGAGAACAAGTATGATACTCCTGTGAATGCACTTTCTCTTGTTTTTCCTTTTTCCTAAATAGCCACTGGATTCTTTAGCCAACTTTTACCAGTTCACATGGATTAGTTTTTATACAGCATAATATGTACCCTCAAAATAGGAGGTATTATGACAGCCATTTAGGAACTATTAAAAATAATATACACCTATTGCCAGCTATAGGCATTTGGAAAGGCAGCTGTGGTTCTGAGGTTGCTAAGTTCAGCAAAATGAACAGGACTGGGATACTATTCATACAGTAGTAAAGAGGAGTAGGAGCACTGAAGTGCTAACTTATCGAATTCTTTAGTTGGTGTCCAAGAAAAGTCTTCCATCTATCCAACTAAAGAACATGTCTTGGAAAAACCCAAAGCAGTGTAAAGCTGCAGTCCTCTAAGTCCATGAACTTGGAAGTTTATGAATATCCAATGCAAAGAGCAGGACCACAGTGGTGGGAATCATCTGCTTGCGCATTTGCACCCCTCAGAGTCTCTCCAGCAGTCAAGAACTTTCCTCAACAGTACAGAAGCTTCTCCATTTGATGTGCTAATTTCTGGCAATTTCTTCACGTCCAAAATAGAACAGCTCGGTTTGCTGATAACCATAGTTTACAGGTCCTTGATGAAGTGTTCAGCCCCCTTTTCCATATTTTGTTGTGTAACAACCTAAACAATTACATTTATTTAATTGGCCTTGTTACCAGTTGATGTACACAAGATACTCAACACTGTAAAGGTCCAAAACATTGTAGCACAAAAGTTAAAAAACAAAATCTGTCATTTTTTGGGTATTTACTGTCCACTCACCCCTGTGTACTTTATCAGTACTTTGGCAAGTTGTCAGCTTTATGCATCTGGATCCTGCAAAGTTTGCACATTCTTTTGGAGGAAAATGTTTCAACTTCATGAGGTTGGACAGGGACTGTGGATGGACAGCAAGTTAGAAATCTTGCCATAACTTGGATTGAGTTCTAGACTGACTTGAACCATTCTTGCTTTAAACTACACCAGTGTGATTTAAGCTGAGTGTGTAGGGTCACTGTCATGTTGGAAAGAACCTCCACCACAGTCAACTGGCAGAAAGAGGGTTTCCTGTAGGATTGCCCTGTATTAGGGTCCATCCAACTTGCCCTCAGTTCTGACTTGAGTTTTCCAGTCCCTGCCAAGGAAGAGCTGCCACCCCCATGCTTCATTGGGGAGATGGGTTCTCAGGGCAATTAACACTGTTAACCCTGTACCACATGTTGCAGCAAGGCCAAAAAGTTCAGTATTGGTCCCATCAGACCAGAAAGTCTTTTTCCAATGGTTGCTATGACACCCACACCAAAAGTACCTTTATGCAAACGCCAAATGGCTTTGTTTTGTTTCAGCAATAACTTTCTTCTCATCATTCTTCCATAAAGTCCAACTTTATGGAGCACCAGGTGATAGTTTTCCCTTGGACAGTTTCTCCCATCTCAGCTGCAGACCATTGCAACTCCTTCAGTATGACTACTGGCATATTTTATACTTCTCTGGATAATGCCTGCTCACTGACTTGGTAAGTCACCCTTGGGCCATATTCTTTCCATTTTGTAACAACACTGTTAACAGTGCTCTGGAGATGTTCATAATTTGGAATATGTTCTTATAACCCGATCCTGATTCGTCCTTCTGCATAATTTTATCCTGGACTTATTTTGATAGCTTCTTCATCCTCATGATGCTGTTTATTTATATACACCACCACCAAACTCTGCACCTTCCAGAAACAGATGTATTTTATCAGAGTTCATGTCACACTAGATTGCGCTCAGGTGGACTCTTTTCAATTACAACAGGTGACTTCTGGAAACTGGGGGTTGCACCAGAATTTACTTAGGCATTTCATAGTGAAGGGGCTGAATACTTACACAAGTGCAAATTTGCATAACAAGTGCCAATTGCTTTTGTTTACTTAACTTCTGCACCATAATAGAATATTTTGCATCTTCTCAATGTTGAGTATCTAGCATGCACCAAGTGATAACAACAGTAATTGCCAGTGTAGTGATGGTGAGAATGTTGGCCTGGGGACAACTGGAGATCCAAGCTGTAGTCCCCACTTAGCTTGAAGATCACTAGGCGACTTTGGACCAGTCATAGACTCGCAGCCTAACTTACCTCACAGGATTGTTATGAGGATAAAATGGAAAAGGGGGGAAAAATCATTTAAGTCACCTTGAGTTCCTTGCAAGAGGAAGAAAGGTGAGGTATAAATGTTGTTCCTGTTATTCCAGGTTGTAATACAACAAAATATGGAAAAGCAAAGGAGGTTGAATATTTCCGTGAAACACGGTACATGGTAGCTATCATAACTAGGAATAACACCTGGCAGGAGACCGCGCCCGCGCCCGAGAACCGCACCGCGCCCAAAGACCGCGCCGCGCACGCGCCCAAAGACCGCGCCGCGCACGCGCCCGAAGACCGCGCCGTGCACGCGCCCGAAGACCGCGCGAAGACTGCGCCGCGCCGCCGAATCCGCCGCTACCTGACTGCCCTGCCACGCCCCTGCACACGTGGCAGGTGTGCCCGGACGGGGTGGGGCGTCGGGTGGCCGGCGGCTACAAAGTGCTGCAGGGGGGAGTGCCGGCAGGAGGAACAACACCTGGCAGGAGACCGCGCCCGCGCCCGAGAACCGCACCGCGCCCAAAGACCGCGCCGCGCACGCGCCCGAAGACCGCGCCGCGCACGCGCCCGAAGACCGCGCGAAGACTGCGCCGCGCCGCCGACTCCGCCGCTACCTGACTGCCCTGCCACGCCCCTGCACACGTGGCAGGTGTGCCCGGACGGGGTGGGGCGTCGGGTGGCCGGCGGCTACAAAGTGCTGCAGGGGGGAGTGCCGGCGGGAGGAACAACACCTGGCAGGAGACCGCGCCCGCGCCCGAGAACCGCACCGCGCCCAAAGACCGCGCCGCGCACGCGCCCGAAGACCGCGCCGCGCACGCGCCCGAAGACCGCGCGAAGACCGCGCCGCGCCGCCGACTCCGCCGCTACCTGACTGCCCTGCCACGCCCCTGCACACGTGGCAGGCGTGCCCGGACGGGGTGGGGCGTCGGGCGGCCCGCGGCTACAAAGCACCAGCAGCGGCCGGGGCCGGCGGCCAAAGGGTGTCGGCCAAAGGGCGGTTTGCCGCCGTTTGGGGGGGCTGTTCGGGGGGGGGCTAGGCTGGCCAGGGGACTTGCTCTTTTGTTGTGGCAGTCCCTTCTGTTGAACGGCCAATTTTAAATGTTTTATAATTTTAAAGTGTTTTAACTTGTTTTTATGGAGTCGTCCCTGGCCATGTTGCCGCCTGAGTTTCCTGGGGAGCGCACTGGCGCCGCCATTGGTGTGGTGATGGGCAATGGACGTAATAGCGGTGGGGGCTTAACGTGTCTGCATAGAAGAAGGAGGGACAGATGGCTGACACCTGTCCCTACTTCTGGTTTTGCTCCCAGCCAGAAGGTGCCAGGGAGTCTTGTCAGTCGCCCCTCGGGCCTGACGGTGCTGTTGTTTAATGCCAGGTCGGCCAATAACAAATCTGCCCTCATCCATGACTTGATTGTGGATGAGGGGGCCGACCTGGCCTGTATAACGGAGACCTGGGCGGGAGAGGGGGGGGATGTTGCCCTCTCTCAATTGTGCCCGCCCGGGTATATGGTCCAGCACTGTTCACGGCCGGAGGGGAGGGGAGGGGGGGTCGCTTTGGTTTACCGGGCTTCCATCACTCTCACGGGACTTCCTGTCCCTTCGAGACCAGGGCTGGAGTGTCTCTACTTGGTGTTGGGCGACCGAGACAGATTGGGGATTCTGTTGGTGTACCGTGCACCCTTCTGCCCAACAGTCTCCCTGCCTGAGCTGACGGAAACGGTCTCGGACCTGGTGTTGAGGACCCCCAGGATGCTGGTCCTGGGGGACTTCAATATCCATGCCGAGGCTAGTTTGACCGGGGCGGCTCAGGACTTCATGGCTTCCATGACGGCCATGGGGCTGTCTCAACATGTCACCGGCCCGACCCATGAACGTGGGCACACTCTGGACCTGGTTTTCTCGACGGGGCAGGAAGAGGGTGGTCTGAGGGTGAGGAATTTATGCTTGACTCCCCTGTCATGGTCAGATCACTTCCTAGTGAGGTTTGTGCTCGAGAGCGACATCTCCCTCTGCAAGGGTGCAGACCCGATTGTGTGGGTCCGCCCCCGGAGCCGGATGGATCCAGAAGGATTCCTGAAGGCTCTGGGGGAGTTTCCGGCTGACAAGACGGGTGCTCCTGTCGAGGCTCTGGTTGAACTGTGGAATGGGGAGATGACCAGGGCTGTAGACACGATCGCTCCTAAGCGTCCTCTCCCATCGGGCAGAGCCCGCTCTTCCCCTTGGTACACTCCAGAATTGAGGGCAATGAAGCAGGTTGGGAGACGGCTAGAGCGTAGGTGGAGGAAATCACGTGATGAATCTGACCGAACACACTTAAGAGCCCACTATCGGGCCTATGCTGTGGCGGTGAGGGCGGCGAAAAAGAGACACTTCTCCGCTTCCATTGCCTCCTCACAATGCCGTCCGGCGGAGCTCTTTCGAGTGGTGCAAGGCCTGGTTCACCCAGGGCCAAAGGAAGAGCTGATTCCACCCTCAAAGGCCCGCTGTGACGACTTTGCCGAGCATTTTAGGGAGAAAATCGCTCAGATTCGTCACGAGCTGGATTCCACTATTGATTCAGAGGTTTTAAGGGAGACACCAACGCTACCGTCTGGTCCAGAATTATTGGATGAATTTCAGTTATTGCGGCCCGATGATGTGGACAAGGTGCTTGGACGAGTACGTCCTACCACTTGCCTTCTGGACCCTTGCCCGTCTTGGTTAATAAAGGATTCCAAGCACGGGATTGGAACCTGGATCTTGGAAGTGGTTAACGCTTCTCTGAGGGAGGGTCGGGTGCCTGCTCCTTTAAAGGAGGCGGTAGTCCGACCGGTCCTGAAGAAGGCGTCACTGGATCCAGGGATGGCCGCTAACTATAGACCAGTGGCCAACATCCCGTTTCTGGGCAAGGTGTTAGAGCGAGTGGTGGCGGGACAACTCCAAGCACTCTTGGATGAAACTGATTATCTGGACCCATTTCAGTCCGGCTTCAGACCCGGGTACGGTACTGAATCTGCCTTGGTCGCCCTGTACGATGACCTGTGCAGGGAGAAGGACAGGGGGAGTGCGTCCCTGTTGGTTCTCCTGGACCTCTCAGCGGCTTTCGATACCATCGACCATGGTATCCTTCTGGATAGGCTGGCGGGATTGGGGGTCGGAGGCACCGCTTTGCGGTGGTTCCGCTCCTATCTCAACGACCGATTCCAGAAGGTGGTGTTGGGGGACTATGGCTCTGCGCCATGGCAGCTTTGCCATGGGGTACCGCAGGGTTCCATTTTGTCCCCTTTACTGTTCAATATCTACATGAAACCGCTGGGAGAGGTCATCAGGAGGTGTGGGCTGCGGACCCATCAGTATGCTGATGATACCCAGCTCTACCTCTCGTTTTCCACCAATCCAGGTGAGGCAGTGGCTGTACTGAACCGGTGCCTGGCCGAGGTAATGGGCTGGATGAGGGCCAATAAACTGAAGCTCAATCCAGACAAGACGGAGGTCCTGTTGGTTGGCGGTTCGGGCTTCGGAGAAGGTGACCTGAACCTTGTCCTGAATGGGGTTGCACTCCCTCCTAGGGACAAGGTCCGCAGCTTGGGAGTGCTCCTCGACCCGGAGCTTTCACTTGAAGCTCAGGTGACAACAGCGGCGAGGAGCGCTTTCCTCCAGCTTCGGCTGATTCATCAGCTGCGCCCCTACCTGGAGTACGACTGCCTTGCAACAGTGACTCATGCGCTGGTGACTTCCCGTCTTGACTTCTGTAACGCGCTCTACGTGGGGCTACCCTTGAAGACGGTCCGGATACTTCAATTGGTTCAGAATAGAGCTGCCAGGCTGCTGACGGGGACTGGACGTTATGTTCACATGACACCAGTTCTCCGTCAGCTTCACTGGCTCCCCATTGAAGTCCGGGCCCAATTCAAGGTGTTGGTAATGACCTATAAAGCCCTAAACGGCTTGGGTCCTGGTTACCTGAAGGAGCGCTTACATCCATATTTGCCCAGTCGCCCCCTGAGATCGGCGGGAGAGGCCCTTCTCCGGGAGCCCTCCGTGAGAGAAATTAGGAGGGTGGCTACTCGGAGAAGGGCTTTCTCAGCGGTGGCGCCTAAGTTATGGAATGCGCTCCCCAGAGAGGTCCGCCTGGCACCGTCGTTATTTGTTTTTCGGCGCCAGGCTAAGACCTTTTTATTTAAGCAACATTTTAAATGCTAAATACAATTGAATTTTATCTGGCCAGGGCAGCTTATTTTATAATGTGAGTTTTAATTAAGATTATTTTATATGGATTTTAACTTGTTTTATCTATGTTGTAAGCCGCCCCGAGGCTTCGGCGAATGGGGCGGCATAAAAATGTTTTAATAAATAAATAAATAAATAAATAACTACACATTTCAGGAGACATTTTGAGGGACGTGGAGCGGAAGAAAGCCCTCCGGCAAGCTTTCCAAGCATGGTTCCCATAATCCAAGTGGGCAAGTATAAATTATTTACTTATGAGACTCTTGTAGAAATCAAGTACATTGGCACTTTTTAAGCTGTTCTTTTATCTACTTACTTGAAGAAAATCCTCTGTATATACAGTCTGATAATAATCCCGTTTCACTGATTGCTTTGAGAGATACAGAATAGTTGGTTCCACATGTAATGCATCCCAAGAGACAAGAGTTCTGGAGTGTGTGGCATCTGGCTTGCCCTTTGTGTGATTTCAAAATCGTCCTGTACATCTTTGCACCAGTTCCAATAGACCAGCTGATGTTCGTTACAGACTGCGTCAGCTGAGTCACTGTCAGATCAGCTGGGCAGCAAGGAGCTTAAAGGAAGGGAGGAAAGATGTTGCATCTGTTTATTATTGCTTTATAACATGATATACAGAGCTATATTCTTAATGGGTTAATCTAAGATCTTATGGCATCTGAGATGAAAAGCTTAAATTTTCTGTCCTTAAAAGCATATGAATGATTCTGCAGGGTTAGCTCTGGCAGCATATATATTCAGTCTTACAGCATGCCCCTTCCTTCAGGATTGCCCCAGATGGCCACCTACAAACACCAACTGAACCTCTGGACTTGTTGGTATCCATTGCTGTAGCTGCATGCTGTCAAGTCATCTCCAACTTAGAGAGATGAATGAAAACCCTCCAAAACGTCTTGTCCATGACAGCCCCACTCAGCCCTTCTAAGTTCAAGGTTGTGTTGGTAACCACAGATGGTAGTTATTGAGAGTAGTTTATACTTACTTCCTACGTGAAACAAAATTAGTTTGAAGGTATTTTATTTTTAATTCAACAGCTGCTAAGTTTCAATAGCATCCTGGCCTCTCCCAGTTTGGAAGGTTTGTGCAGTATTTTAGTGGATACGTTCTATATCTAGTTCAATCCTTTTAACTGATCGACAGCCCTAATAATCTGTTGACCAGATTATAATTTTAATATTATACTTACAAATTAATCAAATATGTGTAAATACATTTGTACATTTCTTAAACCTCAAAAGGGGGGCAGTTGAAGGAAATGGTAGTTTAATAAATAAAAATTAACAAGTGTTAGATGCTATACTTAATATTTTCCTTTTTCATTCTCTTTTACAGTAATGCATCTACCTCCTCCCCCATACCCAGACCAAGTTTTTAATGCACAATTAGGGGGTGAGATTGCCAGCTTGGCATGTCCCTTCAAGGGCCCTCTAATAGCTACAAATCAGATGTCATTCCCGTTGTGATCTATGCACAGAAAGCCCAAGGCACGTAGGTTTCTCTGAACTGTACTATGCTTAAGATTGTGGTTTTCTGGTCTACAAATGGCCCTGGGGTTGCTCTTTGCATCATCAGATAGATAGGAATATGGTGACACTGAAAGTGGGGTAGGCTTGCCAGGGCCATGCAAGGCCTCATCTTCTACAGCATATTCAAACCAAATTCAGCATAGTGCCAATATCCTTTATATGGTATGTTACGAGGACTGTGGATACCAAAACAGTCTTTGCAACACTTCTGAGAAGCCAGCGAGACCCAGTGCTAGACTGAATGTGGGTAATCTCAATACAAACTTCAGCTCAGACACAGATGCTCAGGATGACCTTGGTAAATTTCCCATCTCTCTAGCACTGCTTATAAGATTGGAGTGAGATCTACATGGTAAATACCATCTTTAATCAGTTGTCACTTACCTGTCTCTAAAGGGACACTGTAACTAGGCAAGCTGCGTCCTGCTTCTGTATTGGCTACAGCACTGATAGAAAACAGTGACCCACATGGGAGATTATGGATAGTGCATGAATTTCCAGCGCTTGTGCAATGCCACTTTCCTGCCTCTCCTTTGGCAGTGACTGTATATGTCGCATCGTTGTTATTGGCATGCCAGTGCACAGTAATTACAGAAACAACATCCTGTGAGACACTTACTATTTCCGGACTACATGGAGCTGAAAGATTTTAGAACACATGTTCACTTCTTTCTTATTTGTGGCTCTTGTATTGCATCAAAACAGCTGCAGATATTATAACAAGACTGTAGTCTTCTGAAAACCCAATATTACCAATGCAGTAGCTCACTTCTGAGGAATTCTGTCTATCCAAGGTTTGCTCCCTGCATGAAACTTCCCTTTCCCAAACATTTTACTTCAGATTGCCCATGGGTAACCATTTTCCCCTTAATTTTTCAAACTGATACATAGCTTATGGCACAATCAATTCTAAGAAGCTGAAATGGACTTGAAGGCATAGCACGTTTTAGGAATTTCTAGTGACCTAATTGCTGTTGTGTTGCCCAGGTGCTCTTACGTAGAACAGTTATATTATCTGGGCAAAGAAAGCTGGGCATCAGAAGCCTACTGGCACTGGACAGATCCTGATAATGCCGGCTGTAAGGGCGGGGAAGGCACAGTACCACAAAATGTACCATGCCAGTGTACAGAATTTTGGCAGGGAATTAAGACATTAAAGGCAGCAAACTATTTGCTTTAGCAAGCCTCCCTATTCAAATAGAATGCAAGGATGTGGTTGTTAACAAGAAAGAAAAGCAAAACCTTCCAGTCCATCTGATGCACATTTTACCTGGAAGCAACCCCACTGGGATTTAGGATAAAAATAAGAATGCAACGGATTGCTGCTTTAAAGGGGTAACTCCTCAAGAGCTGGCAGCTTGAACTTGTGCAAACCAAAATAGCTATGTTAGTCTGAGTTTCAAAATACATATCAGCCTTGTATGATGCAATTTTTGTTTAGGTGCAGGGAAATCTGAATGTTCCTTTATGAAATTAAACCTCCCTGGATTTTCAGAACACCTCAGGGTAAGGTTTATGCATGAATCATCTCCAGAACATACTAGCAGCTAGTTTAGTAGCTGCAAACATATTTTTCGGTGTGAGAGTTTTCAAATATCATACAGTCCAGGAACATTTGCATTACAATATAGATGCGATTCTGTAAAATGCAGCCTTGTGTTTCAAACAAAAGAAACATACAGTAGTTTGAACTTTGCTATTCCACTGGATATTCTCTCCACCTGAAGTCATGTGACAAATGTCCTAGGCTGGTTTTGATACTTTCATAAACGAATCAGAATATAGCAGTACTTAGCCATCACCTGCACTGTATCTTCTTAACTCTGCAAATGCTGTTGCATATTAAGAAATAGTACCTGTTGCCACGTGTTTGGAGGGACACGACATGTTGCTGCCTCTAATTTCACTCAACGAATAGACAGTGATATTATACTGGGTATTGCACTGCAATGCAGACAAGGTACAAACAGTAGCTGTGTCGTTGCAGATTAGCTCATGGGCCCAGTCGACGGCTTTGGTCTCATACATTTCAGCACCACGGACAGGCAACCAGACGATCTGGACTGTATCACTAGATACGAACACTGCGTTAAAATCACTGGGGCAGCAAGGTGCTAAGGAAAAAGAGAGAGGCTATGCAGCAGTATTTGTTTTTACAGTACAGTATTAGAAATTCACAGAATAGCTGTTTCTTCCTGAAATCCATTCTATGCCAGGGTGAGAGAGCCTCAGAGATGCAACTCCGTTGTTAGGCTCTCGCACCTTTGTCGTTGACCAGACAATGTCATTTAACAGAGGAAGGAATTGCTGGACACGTTCTTTTCTACAGTTTAACATCACCGCTATAGTTGGTAGCATTTTAGCTGCCAGATGGGCAAACATCAAGCTCATAGGGCATCTCTTGTAGGAAAGGGGGCAATTTGAGGTGCTCCAGGTATTTGGGCCTGCAGCTCCCATGATCCCTCACCATTGACTTTGCTGTCCAGGGCTGATGGGAACTGTACACAAAAACATCAGGAGCACCACAATTTGTTCACCCCTGCCTTAAACTACCGAATCTAGTCTGGCTTTTGAGCTTGAGTAACTCATCCCTCAGATATGGATGGAGTTCCTCAATTTTGCTGCTTGCCACTAGCTTTGACAGTCATGGGAAGACTGTTGGTCTAAACTTTTGAAGTGTGGGATGGAATTTATCACTGGGATTTACCACCAAAAGCTTATTTCTAACTGCCCTAATGTCCATGCAGATTTACTGAACAAATATGCCCATGTTGTTGTTAGTTGCAACATCATGCCCGACCCATCACAACCCCATGAACAACATTCCTCCAGGCTCTTCTGTCCTCCACCGTCCCCCGGAGTCTGCTTAAGCTCACGCTGACTGCTTCAGTGACTCCATCTAGCCACCTCATCCTCGGCCATCCCCTTCTTCTTTTGCCATCTATTGTTCCCAGCATTAGGCTCTTCTCCAGGGAGTCCTTCCTTCTCATTAGGTGCCCAAAGTATTTGAGTTTCATCTTCAGTATCTGGCCTTCTAAAGAGCAATCAGGGTTGATCTCCTCTA